ATTTTCTGACGCCAATTAGCTAAACAAGCTTTCAATTTCCCCCAAAGACTCGCTTGTTCTCCGCTCGAAAAAGCCTTTGAAGAGTCGAGGGCGCTGCGGCGCGCGGGAAACGGCAGATTTTTTATCAAAAACACTGCTGGGAGCCGAAACGAGTAACTGTGGAATCCATGTTCTGACTGTATCGCCTTTAGAGGACCAGACACATATACAGGAGCAATGCAAAACAGAATGAAATCCATCTGCTGGACCTGCTTATCCACACAGGGCCGCAAAGGGGGGCAAGATCCGGAACACAGATAGAAGAACGAAATGAGATTTGTGAATGTTTTCAGGATATGTAAAGCTGTTTCAGTGCATCGCTGGATATTTTGTACAATAGCTATTTATTATTCCAACTGCATCGTGTTGTTTATTTTTCTGAAGGTTACAATCGATTTTATTTCGGGGTGGCAAATCTACAAAGGGCCCAAGTATTTCAGGCATTTTGAAAACCACGAGTCATGTATTTTCCACTTCACAATTTCATGCTACTTTGTACGTGTGAAACACAAATAAAATACAACAGAGGAGTAAAGTTGACTTCCTGTCCACCACGTTTTCCACTTTCACTCAAGACTGCAGTGACTTTCATCTACATGTAAAGTGATTTGGTTGAAAATGGACATTCGTCATGTTACAGCATGACCACCAGCATCACTTGCAAATGACCAACTAGGAAAAGTCAACAAGAAGGAGAACTTACTGAAAAATACAGATAAGGATGGGATTTCACTGGGGACCAGATGTTTCTGGATTTAACATCTTTAAAATCAGTTTTGACTGAGCTCCCCGTCTTCTCGCAGTCGTCTCGTGATGCTGCAGGAGATTTGTGATCGTCATCGACTTCATGTGTTGGTTGTTTCTGGGAATGACTGAAGGAGCTACTGCACAGTGAGATGCAGATGATTTCCTGCATCCCTGGTTCTGTGTTGTTGACGTGCTGGAGACATGAGCAGCCTCACCCGTTGCCTCTGCAGTCAGAGTCTCCTGATCAATAACCACGGGTGGATCCCTGCACGGCTCTTCTCGTTCAGGCGTCTCTGACCTCCAGTTTTACATCAGATTAATTCACCGCTGCACATTATGCCGTATAACAGCTGAATCGTCATTTAAAGAGCACTGCGGGGTTCTCATATTGACAAAATGGCCTCATTGCGGAGTCTTTAAGTAAGGGATGGTGTTTCATGAGGGAGTGGCAGCGCCATCTGCTGGACAAAGACAAAAACATGGATTTTAGAGAATCTTTTTATTTTGAATACAGTAACTTAAACGTATTCATCCCACATGAAGGTTTACATATTGAAACACAATCTTCACTGTATTCTGCTTTGATTTGATGTGATGGACCAAAACACGGTAGTTTATGATTGTGTTGTGGATGAGCGTCATTTGACTCATGAATAATAGATAAATAAAACATCTGACATGTTTATAGATATTGCATATTTTTCCCCCTTTTTTGTATTTTCTTAGTTTTATTTCTCTATTTCTGCACCATTATATCAAAGCAATTTCCTAACCTGTGAACTTGTTCACTGCCATTGACAGTCACGCGAATCTGATTCTGTCAAGATAAAAGTCAACTTTTATTTTATACTCTGTTTACTTTGATATCTTGTGATATCCAAAAACACGAAATGCAATCCTAAATTATATCTTTAAATGTACAAACACATATTTATGCATCCGAACCAACAGGCAAGGAAGTCACTGATAGCTAAATATAGTTTGCTGCAAATCAATCATGATCTACAAAATTAGTCTTTTTTTTTATGTCAAAGTGAGTGTCAGTGTACCGTCACATGTCACACGGTGCAACGCTGATGGAAACGCTGTCAAAAAGTTTGACGCAAAACTTTTTACAATCTAATGTCATTCGGCTCTCGGCTGGGTTTGTAATTTGCTGAAAACGTCTTGTTAAAAGTCGATCCCGTCTCGACACTGATGACTCCATCTGCTCTGTGCTGTCGCAGCGCAGGAAGGCTGCACAAGTCACGCATGAGGAGTGAAGAGAGAAATGTTTTCATCGAAAGCTGCTTTCTTCCTCTTCTAATTCAGACCGGAGTCCCTGACAGGTTAACTGGACGGCTTGTTTGTACAGTACAGCTGATTTATGCGAAACAGAAATCTGCTACGCTAACATGAGTTTGTAGATCTTTATTGTTTCATCCTGGGCCAGACTTAAGAAAACAGCCTATAGGGTAGTTGAACAGGGACACAGGTTGTGGGGTGTGTCCAACATTTATTCCCTTTTTTTCTATAAATGTCTGTTTTGCCAACCATCAAATTACCTGGAGTGTTACTTGAATTGTACTTGCCTGTTTGAGAAATCCTTTAAGCTTCACATGCAACTTCCCCTCTCAGCTCCTTCAGACTAGCCAGCAGCGATTAGCTACACTTGATGCTAACTGCGTATCAGCTGAGCTCATTATAGCGGCTACTTCTCAAAACATTATTAAAGTGTTGATAGAAGAGCCATGCTGTGATGACTTCCTGAAGGCAGAGTTTCAGAGAGAGCAAAGGCTTTTAAAGAGACAGAGACCCAAGGCAAAAATCAGGAACTAAAAATTCTTTAGTCATATTTGATATATATATATATATATATATATATATATATATATATATATATATATATATATATATATATATATATATATATATATATATATATATAATTTTTACAACATCTCGATTGTGCTATAATCAAGATGTTCCTGAAAAATGCATAACACTTCCTCTTTAAAGTAATGAATTGGGTTAATTATCTTCATAAAAGTTTTGTTCTGATTTTGAAAATGCATAATAGAGATTTTTTTTTGTGCTGGAAATGAAGGGTGCCATATAGGCAAGAGCCATCGGTGCCGATGAAGTGAGCCTATTTTTAGACGTCTGCTTTGTATTTGATTGACAGGAAATTGCACAGACGCTTATTGAAGCCTTTTGGTTCCTATTTCCACCTCTCTCTCGGACTCTCTATCAAGACCACTCTGTTTTGGAGCTTGAAGTTAAAAGGACTCCTTTCCTCCGCTGTCTGCTCTACATAATAACACACCACACTTGTTTTTTTTCCTTTTTTTTTTGGAACGTGTGTACTTTGCGCAAACCATTAGTGTTGTCATCTTGAATCCACCGCTTCAAAGAAACACCTTTTAAAGTAAACATGGCCGCGACAAGAAGCACACTTCAGGCTCCCTCCACCCCTCCTTTGCAGGAACAACTAAACGGACGCACAGATGTGGCTCAAAAGAAGTCCAGCTCAGAGTTCCTCTGTCTTCCCCTGATGTTTAGGTGTGAAATCCTGCGTCATGGGAGATAATGAGACCATGAGAGATCCTATTACCTTCCAGCAGCAGACAGTTTCACGGCGGCAATAATTACTCCCAGTGGCGGCTGGCTTATTGACGACGCCTGCCCAGAGCATCACTCTGGGACTAATGGTTTCCATCCCTCACAAGGCAAACAGAAGAACGAACATCGCCTCAATCAGTGGCGAGAGATTCAATGACAAAATGCATTTCTCCTACCAAAGCGGAGCGACACATGTTAAACAAAGACATGTTGTTTGGTCTGTGCAAGCTCGCCTGTTGGAAGGCCAGCTTTTATATATAAATATATATCTATATATTTCAGCTATAGGATTTCTCTGCGTTTGACGATAACCAAATGTGAGCAAGCGACTCGCTGATAACTTGGAGCAAATGAAAGCCAGCTCTCTGCTTAGGTTGGTGGTGACAAAGTGATGTCTGGAGGCTCGGGGCGTCGGGCAAAAAAATGAGCTCCATTGATTTCAGGCAAAGGAGGAAAAATACAAGGAGAGGGACTCCGACAAGCCCCGGTTGGCTCGTGTGTTTCAGCATGTGGTGACAAATCGGCCACAGAAAGAGAAATTGAGTATGGATTGTTTGAGGGTTTGGGTTTATGGCTCCCCAGTATAACAAACATGAAAGTCAGAACGCGATGCAGGTCAGATGGGGTGTCGGTGGAGAACTGCCACTGGGTTTCGTGTGACTGGCGACTGAAGGCCGACGCTAAAGACAAGTCGCTCTTGTCCCACAAAGGTAGAATATTACAGCTGAGAGAAATCTGGCCTCTGAAGGGCAGGGAAAAGTCACATACTGTATCAGTTAAACTGACAGTATTATGTAAAATGTACTGTTTTGAGCTTTACACCAAGTTATGTTATTCTCTCATCAAAACATTACCTGGAGTGTTGCTTTGATCCTTTTACTTATGTTTGAGGAATCTGTCAAATATGAAACACAATTAAAATCACTGAATAAGTTTGTTCACATCAGTTATTAAAAAAACAAGCCGTGCCATGTCCGGCGGTCTTCTTGGTGGTTGGTGAGTCACATTTGAGCTTGTGATTTATATAATGTGAAAAAATGTTCTATTGTAATTTTGCAAAACAAGCCAAAACCTTATAAAAAAAAAAGCTTTTCAAAACTGGCATGTTCTCACTGAGTTTCTTTTCAAAATGTCAAATTATGCAATTATACGGTCAAATGAAGAGCAGCTGAAAAGCGAGGATGTTGTTAAAGGGTTAACAGAGGAGCCATGTTGTGATGACTTCTCGAAGGCGGAGTTTCAGAGAGAACAGGAGTTTCCTAAAGAGACAGAGGCCCAATTTCAAGACCTTAAAGAAATGTGATATATGTGAGAGAAATGAAGAAAACTTGAATTCATTTATGAAATGTTTACAGCCATTCTGTTAGGACTAAATGAAGAACATTGAAAACATAACCTCAGTGTTGTATTCTGGACTGTGTTGCTAGACATTGATTTTCCCATGATGCCACACTGCAGATGGTCTTTCGAAGCCCTTCGCATATTAAAAAGTATTTATTGGCAGATAAAAAATTTTTATTTACCATCACTTCTGGTAATTTTGCTCAAAATTGCAGAATTATATGCGTTAAATTTAAAGGGAAGTTAAATGAAGACTCAGGAAGGCAAAAATAAACGGAATGCAAAAGGAATGCTTTTTATTTTTAACTTCATTGGATAGTACTATGATATATATATACATATATATAGTATTTTTAATTTGTTACATAGAACACAAGCTACTTCAGAGTACATACAGTATGGTCAGCAACATATAAAAATATTTCAGTAATATTGGCACAGATGTAATACTATAGTTAAGTTCTACATGTATGTAAGTAACAAGAAATCAATGGAAGTTCCTCACAGTGACTTCAAACTTTTTTACATTCAGTTCAAACACAGGAAAGGTCGCCAGCCAACAGTGTAGAGAACACTTCTGTCACATAAATAATCCACGCACTCCAGGAAAGGCCGATTGAATACAGAGAGGTTCAAGTTCTGAAGGTTGACGGAGAAACTGAAAAGGATGAGCTGCGTTTGGGGAACACGTCAAAATGCACCATTAGCAACATCAGCGCAGTTTTACAGCCACTGAGCAGCACGTCGCAAACACTGTTTTCCACTGTCTGACCGGATTTCAAAACTATCTTCACGTCAATTTGTAGTCCTTGCGACAATTCACCCTTCCAACAGAGCAGGGAAGTGTTGTAGCTGACTTTGAAGGGCGCACTCGGCCCTTTTTTTTTCTCTGGATTTATTCTTAGTGGCCAAACACGTGGGACCTGGAACTCACGCAGGCTCGGGCCTCATCCAGAGAGCGCGTGTGTATCGGGGTGTGTGAGTAGCAAAATGAGGCATGGCAGCTTCGCGTTGTGGCGTTTTGAAGACGGTCTCTGCTTCAAAACGGCGGCCGTGCGAATGGAGTCTCCAGCTGCGTTTCCATTAACCGTAAAACGGCTCAAATCGAAACTGCGACAATAAATTTGCTTCACAGAAACATGCCAATTCAGAAAAACTTGTGTTCCTCCATAAGTTTTTGCACTAAGATGAGCTGTTTTTTTTTTCTGTTGTCAAAATTTTTTTTTCACGAGTCATGTTATCAGCAACCAGATGTTAGAGGTAATAACAGAACTGAGGTTGAAGATGATGCTAAACTTTTGTTTTTCAGACATCCGTGTCATTCTGCGTACCCGCTCCCGAGGAGGCGGGGCTTGTTGCTCCAACACCTGAATAAGACGTCTCCTCTGATTGGCTGATCGATGACGAGCGCTGAATTATTAATACATCTCATGTAAATTCTTACATCTGTCCCATCCATGAATTTTGAAAACTTATGGCGTGAACACGTGCGATTTTCATTTCATTTATTATTTAACAGAAATGCCAATTGCGGAATTATGTTTTTTGCGACATTAGCAGATTATAGACTTATATAATATAGATTTTATATATTATTATAGATTTGTGCATATCTGTAATGGAAACAGAGCTAGTGACTATCGCTGCCCACAATGTAACAGCTACTCCAATGAAAAATAAACACTTTGTCAAGTTATCAGTTGTTCTGCAAGACAGCCAACTTTTTGACAACAAGACGATGGCCGAACAGATGAGACCAGACTTTACCTCTCACAATAACCACACGGTACAACCTCCAGACCAAAAAAAGCAAGTGCAATTTTCTAACAGTAACCACACACAAAAAGCTGTTTGTATTTTTTTAAAGCTAGTAGAGGTTGATTCAAGGTTGTCAATAAAGTGCACTTGCCAACAAACCAGTGCAAAGGTTAAAATATAGCTCTCTGTATGTACATAAATACATTACGCAGCAGATCCGTGTCTCGCAGCGCTGCTGGATATGAAATGCCTGAGGAAACGTTTCCGTTTCCAGAAAATGTAAACGCAACACGACAGACATGTTGATGGACGGGAGTTTTCACAAAACCGCTTGAGAACCACATCGTGCAGCGCGCATGTAGCAAAGAAATAACAATAATAAAAATATCTCTCATTATGCTGATGACATTTTGATATGCATCATGATGATTTAGAAGACAACGTAGGTAAGTCGTGGCAGTTCATTCAAAATCATTTAAATTTCCTGAAAAATGAAAAGCAATGAAATGCTAATCTGCCCTTATTAAAAATCTGTGGACGTCAAAGGAGGATTTTAATCGAGACATTAAAAAATGGCTCATTAGGAAAATGATGGCTATTAGACCACAATGTTGTAGTAATTAGTCATGTTTCTTTCTCTCATTATATGAGCGTGATTATATTAGTGAGCCTGTTGACTGCCTGTTTATCTCATAACTAATAGAGATCCTTCACAATAGGTTGATCTCATAGCTTGGGGTATTCATGCTTCTACAAATAATTGGACTAAATAATCAGCTCAACTCTCTGTCCGAGCCTCAGTAGCTACCAGATGGACAAAATTGTTCAGATAAATACTGGAAGAGGAAATGCACAAAGCAGCATATTTTTGATAAAAGAATTTCAGAACCAAACCGAAAAACTTTCAAAAGTTTTCCAGATTTTGGGTTTTTGAGTGAAGCCGCCAGCATGTTAACTGCAAAATGTTGCGCTTTCAAAATGGCCTAAAAGTCACACTTAGGAGGTAAACACCAGGTGTTAAGAGTTGTACAGTAATACAGAATTTAATATAGCACTAAAATACCTTCAGAATGCAGTCTGTTCAGATTCGATACTCCTTCATTTATTACCTTCCCAAATCTAATATTTTGTTCTCATCCAGAATTCTTGAAGGAATCTGATGGATGCATTCAACCTGTGATCGATTTCAGTTTGTTCATGTCGATGGCAAACCAAGATGGAGTACCACAGAGTTTAGAGTTTGGATCACTTGCACATATAAATAATGCACATGGTAAAAGTATCACAGCATAACAATAAGGTTCCACTGTTATGCTGATGATACTCATCTATAAATCCTGATTAATCCAACCAGCCAGACTACAGGCATATCCTCATGATGGAAAAGCCTAAATTATTTTCACCATCTGCTTTTAGATTAATCTGTCTGAAGTTGTTGTTATCGGACCAGAGCTATAGAAAGTCAAAGTTACTTAATATGGATGGTGTTTAAGAGGCATAAATCCCATATTGTAACAGACTTTCTTTCATCTCTGGATCGACTCAGAAATATCCTGCTTCAGAGTGGAGAAAATTAAGTCCCAGCATTCACTGGATGCTTCACTTACTATGACGAAGTGCAAAAAAATTCAGTATAACAAAGAAAGAAAACTCCAAGCTTATTCAAAAACAGATCGAGTTCAGGTTCTTTTCACCGTCTTGTTCTCTTTCAGCAGTGGAGATGTGTTTTCTGGATCAAACTGGAGTTTGACTCAATCTAACTAAACAGGGCTGGTGTGAATGAACCCTTAGGTTGTAGACTAATAAGCTTTTTAGTCAACACCAGTGTCTGACCTTACAAATATCCTCCAGGCTGACATGTCAAACCATATAAATTAAGAACAAAAAAAAGTTCTCCCTAAAGTTGATTTGTGTCGAGGACTTTTGGGAATATAATGCATCATTGTTTGTGTTACCCAAAACTTTTGTGGGCTTTGGTTTCTAAAATGTTGAGTGTAACACCTGCATTCCTAGATGATTATGTCGTCAAGGGCGACATCATCTAGCCAAACCTGGAAACCTTGATATTAGATTCAGTGTTATTTTACTCCCTTGTAGTTTTCTTTTTAAACATTTTTAAATGGGCAGCTATTTATAAATGTGACTTCGAGAAAGGTTGCTAGCACTTTGTTATTAGTGTTTTCAGTAGCTTTGTTGGCTGGTGTGGGTTTTGATGAATTTGCTGATGAGAAAATGCAAAAGACTTTAGAAAGATAAAATCACTTTTTGCTCAATATTTAGACAACTGAGCCAAATGGATATGAGTGAAGTCAGTTTTCAGCTACAGGCCGTTCCACCTCTCTGCACATGGAACGATGTCAATGGAGTTCACACAAAGACACGGAAGTTCACATTTAAAAGAACTACTTACACCGTAGATACGTAAAAATAAATAATTTAAAACAATATATCTCTTTTGTATAAAGGAAGAGCTGTTTCCTGTGCAACATACTCCATGTACAATCATAGGGTTAAATGCCGCACATCTATTGCATTGGTTCTACAGACGGTGGGACGCTTACTGAAAGAATTCATCAACCAGCGAACGCAGAATGTTCTAAATGAGGTCTAAAGGGAAAGCAGGGGACACCGCTAGCTTCTGCCTGTGTTTCTGGCTGAGAGCGTACTCACAAGGCAGACAAAACGTCTCCCGTTTCTCTCTTCGTCGCCCTCAGATGTTTTGTGTTGGGCATCTACATGTCACACGCATCTGAGTTCTCAACAGGAACAGTCACAACACACTAATTCTTTCAGGACGATGGCTAACGAGGATAAATTTTTTTTTTTACATTCGTAACATGAACTGTACAGAGTAATGAGAAAACTTAAGACTTTCCACTCTGTTCCGGGAAGCTGTGGTTCCACTGCCTCTATTTGAAGTAGTTGAGCCCTGCCACCAGGAAGAATTTCTCCAGGAAGAGCTCAGAGTCCAGGACGGCGATGTGGGCAGCGCGGCCGATCAGGGTGTTGGCCGTGTTTGGCAGGGCGTGGAACACGTTCTGACGGATCAGGCGGCACTCCTTGGCCTCCACCACTGGCTGCAGGAGGTTGTTGATCATCTCGGTGTAAACGGGCCCTTCAGGACAAAAGGAGGGAAGATACAGTGAGAGTTTCAAAGAATAAGAGTTTATCTTCGAGGAAAAAAAGTATGCTACAGACATAATGGTATTTTTGTTGTGAAAAGTAAATCACACCAGTCCGGTTTACAGATTCTAGTTTGTTTGTCTACAAAGACTGGTTCGTTTACGGAGGTTTGAATGTGTGATCAAACTGTGATACAGAAAAAGAAAAGTGAATTCTAATCTGAAAAAACCTCGTTCTTGGTTTGGCTGAAATAAACTGATGATGTTTGAATGCATATGTGAAAGCAAAAAGCATTCTGGGTAATGTGTGTGTCCAGCCTGGCCAGGGCCTTCATGTGCTTTTCCATTGTCTTCATATCTCGCTTGCAGCTCAGTCTTTGTTTTCTCTCTTTGACTTGGATTCCTCCAGTTGAATTTATTTTCTTTTTAAAGATCTTGACAGTTGCGAGACACAAAAGTGGGTTGTGAGAGGGGGGACAGCATGCAGCAAAGGTCATCAGTGAAGCAAAGGTCTACATGCATGGGTCAGCTTTACAGCGTAAAACAACGGGCTGATTTTTTTTACGCTGAATTTCATTTCGTGAAGAAGGAAGTTGCACTTCAGTGTCTTCTTCAGACATTTCCTTTAAAAGTACCTTATTGATTTTTTTTTTTAGTCAAGATAAAATTCTGGATTTATAACCCAACGTTACAAAATGACAACACATTTGTAATTTTGCCTCTGGTGCTCCAAAGGTCCCCTTCTGTTCCACTTGAGGACCTGACCCCTCAAAAGGTCAGCAGCCACCACTGAGCTGCAGAATATCATAAACAACACATCCTCTGATAATTCAAGTATTTGGAATCCCTCAACATCGACACTCCTGACCTGTGGTCCGGTCTTTCAGGGCAGTGGTGCACATCTCTATCCTGGCTGAGTGGAACGGAACGTATCGGTCCTGCGGAGACGCCACCAACACCACGTTCTTGAAGTACTGCAGCCCTGAAAACCCACCAAAAAAACCCCCAACAAAACAACAAAAAACCAAAAACAAAACAAACCGAATGAGACTGCTGCTTGTTTGAGAGAAAGAGAGGCAGAGACAGGTAAAGAGGGAAAGAGATGGAGGAAGGGGAAGAAATCAGTTGTAAAACACAGAGTACAATCATCAAACACAATGACAGGCTTGATATGATAAAGCTGTGTGTTGTTTTTTTCTCTCTTTGGTCTCCTGTTGGCGTGCTTTTAAGAGAGTTCACTGTTGAGTTACCAATGACAGGGTTTTGGATCATTTTGTCAGCTCTAGTGGAGAAGTGAAAGAGCGGGGAGCGGAGGGGGGGGGTGTGTGTTTCAGGCTTATCTTCTTCATGCCTGTGTGACAAACCGCTGCTTTGTTCCGCGCTCACAGTAGGGAGGCCTCTCTCAGTTTGCTGGTGGAGGGTTTTTTGTGCGTGCGTGTGTATGTGTGGCCAAGCTGACACGCGGAAATTTGACAAACAAAAAAGGCGAGATGACAACTTTCTTTTTTCCATGAATATTTGAACAGAGGGCCTTTCAAGTGGCAGCCTGTAAAGCGGGGCCGTCGGCTCGCTGCCTTTGTTCACGTCTTACCTGGTTTCTGACTCAGGAGGTAGAGGAAGGTTTTCCGCGGATCGACGTGATCTCTGAAGGTGAGCTGCAGCAAGGATCCCGACTTCTTCAGCTTCTGCATTAACCACAAACCTAACACAGACAGACACACACACACACAAATAGAAAGAGAGAAAGAGTTGGAGAATATTCATTTTTGCAATTTTAGAAATGTCAATGTCAAACTTATGCAATATGTAGGCATTTCCATTTTGTGTGTACATGAGTTTGATTGACAGCGCTAAGACGCTCCCCCTGGCTCTGATTGGTTGTTTCTGACCACAGGTCGGAGGCTGAAGATCTCAGTTTTGTTTTTTACAAATTACATGTCTGATGATGATAGTACCGTCTGAACATAGTGACAGTTTTAGTAGCAAATATGTAAAAATAAATAAATAGAAAAGTTGCCTACTACAACTTTAAGAAGAGAAACATTGCTATGTGCAATGTACCAATGCATATACTATTTGTACATTGGTATTTTCTCGCTGGTACCAGTACCACTGGTACCGGGAAATAAAAGCTTTTTTTTTCCTGGAATAGATTCAATTAAGCTCAAAGTGCACCGAATATATTCAGAAACTTGGAAAAGCCAAAAATAGTTCGTATTCAAGCACTAGAGCTATTCGGTCTGGAAAATACACATTTTTAAATGTGATTCTACTGCTAAGAACTGTGATGTTTCAGTTAACCCATACTGTTCAAACTGTTGTTTCTGCCAGTAAACCAAATCTGTTTAACAAACATGTCAGGTTTGAACCTCCTAAGCAGGTAGAAGTTCACCCAACCGGATGAATACTATCAATACAGCGTCCAATCAGGCCAAAGCAATTACGGTATTACCGTGACGATTGCAATACGTTCATTTATTGCGGCAATGAATGAACTTATGAAACGTTGCATGTTTTTGTTGTTAAAAACAATACATGTTTTGCCCATATGGACCAGTCTGACTGAGAAGAAGGCAAACAATGATCCCATGAAGACAAAGTGTTTTTCTCCAACCATCAGTCGATCATTAATGAAGGAACATCTTGTGACGGATTTAGTTTGTTCTGCTGTAAACAGGTGGTCACATAAAAGGTTAGTACACATAAAAGATCCTCAACTGCGTCATTAAGCAGATTTATTTATTTGCTTTTTCAAAACATCTCGGTTCAGCACTGTCTGCTGTTAAGTTAGACTCGCACCCACTTTTGAAGGTCCAGCCTTACATCTAATGCATCAAAACCACAACTTCCAGTGAAAAAAGGTTTCAGTTTGGTCTTAGAGTCGAGAAACCAAATCAATCAGAAAATTTGAGTTCCTCCAGGGCTGGCTGAGGCAAAAGTTACCTTTTGCTGCATTGGAAAACGCCAAAAGGCCTCAAGAGTGCAATTTTGCGATCTTACGGAACAGATCCTTATGATGGCACCTAAGGAGGAGGTTGTGTTGGAGATGTTGACACAGGTGAACATCTGTTTAACTCACATGATGTTAACTTTAATGAATACGTAAGCTTACATTAATTTTGATTTTAAGCTGATTAAAGTGTATGTCAACTTCAGAATTTGAAATAAAAAAAAAAAAATGAAACTAATTTAATCTGTAATATTTTGTGGCATCTAATCTTACAAAGTATTCTGGTCTAGTTAGCAACCTTGAAATAAGAAAAAACTTAAGTAACTTATTGTCAAGATATAGGAGGAGCTTGTCATGAGTCAATATTTATTTAATATTGTCACAGTTATTACGTTATTCCACTTATAAAATAAAGAGAACGCCTCGTTGTAAGTACAATAATCTGTGAGTGGAACTAGTACTTGTCATCAATATTAAGAAATTATTTGCTGAAAACAAGCACCTATATCTTGCGGAAATGTTACTTCTGAATTGGTTTTGTCTTATTTCAAGTGCACTAAGATGTTTTCACCAGAAACTAGACCAAAAATACTTTGTAAGATTTTGTGTTTTAGCAGGTAACTGACCTAAAACAGGACAAGTTTGGTCTGATTGATAGTGAGACCGTGGGAAAGAAAATGATTGTCCTTGTAAATGGAGATTGTAAACATTGTTTTAAATTTTAAATTGGTTCACTTTCTCTTTTAGTTAACTGACATCTAAATATATATGTCAATAGTTGAAATATGAAAAATATTTGAACAATGGTGATGGTTCTGAGAACGTAGGTTCCTCCTAGAGCAGATTGGTGGCCTGACCTGTGCTGACCAAGGTGCTGTTGTTGTACAGCGTTCCCAGGTGTGGACCGGACAGAGAGAGGAAGGTGTGCAGCCTGGGCAGGTAGCAGCGGAAGCGAGGCCTGGTCAGCACTGACCGGATGATGACGTTGCCCAGGGAGTGGCCGATGAAGCTGCAAGTAAAAGTTGCTAGGTCAAATGTTTACTGAAATGTGTACTGAAGTTCTTACTTTTGAAATATTTCAGTATCAAATGTGTAACTGAAACCACCAGCGGTATTCATAGATAGAACCACTCTGCTACAAAAAAAAGCGTACGCCACCGATGGAAACTTCAGCTTTGAAATGCAATTAAAAAAAGATAGCTATTTTTATTATTCAAGAAAAGAAAATAGATACAGGAGAGACTGTTTTCCTTCCCACAAACAGCAACACTGGTAACAAGTAATACCACAGCATACTTTAAAACTGCTACGACAACAATTATAGGTACAATAAAAATGAAGGAGTAAATTTCCTCCTAAAAGCTCGGAAATGTTTAGATTCATTTTTCACGTTTATCCGCAAAAGCTGGAAAATAAAAACCCCGGACGGATGGCGCTGACCCGCGACGTCGCTCCAGGACCTCGATACGTCAGCGAATGGTAACGCAGAACGACTGACAACCTAACCGCTCTCAGCCGGAGGACACGCGAGCCAACAGCAGCGGGAAGCGTTAGCTTCTTCAAGCTGTTTCTGTTTGTTAGCTTAATTACCGTAATGCCGCGGCTCAGCCCGCCATCCCTCATTGAGACGCCAGCGCGCTCGCCTTCTCTCTCTCTCTCCCTGCTAACTGAACAGAGGTATAACGTTGAGTGAAGCAGATGCTGTTGAGGCAGTCCGCTGCGTTTTGGCTTTGACGCTCGCTCCCAGGAGAATACGTCACAATGAAGGAGAGTTGGAGAAACTTTTGGTGGAAACTCGCGACAAAGAAACAAAATTGGCACATTGGGGGCAATTAAGTGAGAAGACGAATAGCTTAATTTCATTAGAGCTCGGCAGAAACGTGCTGCACAGAGGAACGCGGCCTATCACGTGAAAGTCAGAGGCTCATTGGCAACGTATGATAAGAGCTTGTCATCCGTTTCCTGTCATTTGCTCATGCCGTGTCAATACATTATCACAAATTCAACAATTCTGTTCGTTTTAAGGTCTTGTTGAGAGTCAAAGTAGGACTCTGCTGCCATCTGCTGGCCAAACTGTGCTGGGTTGAGCTGTCATAGAGGGAGTTTTTTAGCAATGTGGTTTAGAGATGCAGTCCAATGTGGTAGAGTGAAGTGAAGGGAAAAATAATAAACGGTTGTTTTATTTTAGGAATTAAAAATTTGAATAATGCTCTTAAATCTTAAACTCTAAAATCCGGACCTTCAAAAGTCACCCAAAGTCAGACTTCTCTAGCAGTTGAAGTAGAGCTGTCCAGAATTAATGTGAAGTGAGAGCCGGCCTAATACAGGAAAAACCATATATATAGATATATATAGAGAAATATATATCTCTCTCTATATATAAAATTCTCTCTCTCTCTCTCTCTCTCTGTCTCTCTCTCTCTATATATATATATAATTTTGAGTTATCTATAAAAATATATATAGATATATATTTCTCACAATATGTAGATGGCTGAGCAAGGGATGTGAAAGAAGGTAGACTGCACTACAAAAACACAAAACCTTACCAAGTATTTTTGCTTCAGTTTCTGGTGAAAATATATTAGGACAGTTGAAATAAGAGACAACTAACTAAGAAGTAGTTTTTCAGCAAGAATTACAAGCTCGTTTTAAGGCAATCATGTCTTAATGTTGATGAAAAACGTACCAGTTCTATTGGCAGATTATTTCACTTATAACAAGAAATTTTTCTAGTGTTATTATAGAAGCAGTCTACCCATGGAACAAGTACTTTTTCATCAATATCAAGAAATTACTGATTACGCAATCATTTTGGATGATGATGATCTTCCATATCAGTTAGTCTTCAAACGAATCTGAAGAAAATTTTGCCTGTAGACACTGTTGCTGTATGACAGCTTTATATGACTGTCTCGACATGCTAATGGTTCAATATCCAATTAGCATAAACAATATTTCAAAGTAACATGTCCAGGATGTCACTACCAGTTTTCGGCAAGAAGTGCTAATCCACCTTATTTGCTTCTGCTGCCCCTTGGAATTAGAAGGTGGTGACTCTACCACTGAAAACAGCGTAGCTTTTACAGTTTTTTAATTGTAAAAAAAATTATTTAAGAAACCAAATGAAAGACATAAGCTCTCATTTCTTTGTCGCAATCCCTTAAGCCACTGACCTTATCCTGCCAATAGTGAGATTGTACAGCTGGATGTGCTGAATGATCTCATCCAGGAGTCGGTCAGTCATGGTGTCGAAATCTGCAAACGTGTCGGCCTGTGGCGAAAGACATGGCAGAATAAACCGATCTGCAAATCGGCTTGAGGAGCTTTGCTTCCCTCGTCGTCTAAAACGCACCTGATTCCGTTCAGACATTAGGAAGTCGAGCCTGGATCCCGGCAGGCCCAGTTCAATGAACGTCTTGACCAGTCGGAGGTCCGCGCTGTTGCCTGCAGGGAAAGAAATTCAGCTCAGGGACTTGAAGAAGTTCTGTCTGCTAGTAAGGTACATGTTGTCAGAAAATGAAGGCGCAAGATGTCTCACCGTCAAGACCGTGGACACACACCACTAGATGTATCCCGTCTTCAAACTCCTCGTCGTCCTCTTCAGGAGGGAAGTAGGGCAGATCTGACGCCAGGAGAGGAAGGTCGCTGTACAAGCTAGCCTGGAACTTCAACTCTTTCAGAAGCTCCTCTTTGGCTTTGTAGAAACTAGAGAAAAAGGAAGTGGCATTTGGTAGGAGAAAAAGGCATTATTCAGTCGCAAGCTCTGACATGAAACTATTGGTTATTAGAGCTGATCAAAACCAAGCCTTGTTTTCAACAGGCTTTGGCGAACATTGAGCAGAAGAAGCTGTAGACTGTGAAAGCCCAGCTTTCACATAATAATTGGAGACATAATGAAGACAGGGACTCTTCCAAACCTAAAAAACTGTCCCAAGATGGCGTTTGGAGAAAACGTTTTTTTAAACTTTCTCTCAAACTGCGAGAGAAAACCGCTTTAAATGTTGCTACTGAACTGGCAGCACAATCGTATTGCCCACTTCTAAGCAGAGCAAAGCTTCTAAGCAAAATTCTCACACTCACAAGTAAGCTCCTTGAAGTTTGGCCCTGTCATCCCGCCAGGTTACAGACTTTAGCCGCGCAGGAGTCAAAACAAATCCGATTGCACTTCCTAAACGCCTCGCTAATCATGGAGGATTTGTCTGCACATTCTTTGATGTGATTTAATACACTCAGAAGGCTTTCCTCCCTCCCAACCGCCATCTTCAAATTTGGCCCCACTTCCTTCTGTTGTGTTAGACTTTCCAGGTGGGCGTAACTGTAAGCGGATGCCAGTCTCCTTCTGCTGCAGATCTTATGAATCCAGTTCTGGTCTTTGAAGGCAGACATTCTGAATTTCCTTTTGGACATCAATTGTCTGTGCAATTACAGCTACAAGTCTTTTGGAGTACGTCTATTTAAATTGCACATTCAGAGTCATTTTTGTCTATTGTTCCTTGTTGCTCCACAAATTTCTTTTAAAATTGTTCATGGCTGGCTTTATAGCAAGCAGATTAATTTCCAGTCTGACAGATGATGTTTCAACGAAGGCAGGTTATAGTTTTCTGACCATTAACAGTGTAAACCGTTAAGCTTCCATCACAGATTGCAAAAACCCCCAAAAAAGCTGATATTACCCAGTTCAGAGAGTTATCTACCGACAACGCATTTATATAGAAAAATCAATTTTTGTTTTTTTAAATTTATAAACTCGTTAAACATCAGTACAAGATTCATTCTAGACAAAAAATATGAATATCTGCAAAACACCCACCAGATTTAAAAAGACTTAATGTGGGCAAAAGGTTTGAACATCATATTGTTATGCAGCTACCTAAATAAAACAACTCTGAACTGTCATGTTGTGTTCCACGTCTACTCTATCGGTGAGAAGCTTTGCCATTGTCATGAAATAAAAACAGAGAATTCAAATTTCTAACATCGTCAGAGATGAAAACTCACCTCAGCATCCGTTCATTGGTCTCCTCATCCATGGCCAAGGGGCTGAGAGAAGATGAGGAGATGATACCGAAGGAGCCCAGAGGCTGATGGGTAATAGGCGAGGAAGCCTGGCGAGCAGATATGCCGCTGACGGAGGGGGAGTCTCTAAGGACGGATGAAAACGGCAGACAAGTCGGGGCGCAGGACACAGACATGTTCACCACCTCCACCATCTTCTTATTCACAAAGGCCAGTCCAGAGTTAGGAATTTTTGAGGCCTTGGTCTGGCTTTCTAAAGGGTCTTTGTCACTCGTAGATGCGCCGCTGAGGTTAGGGGGCGACTTTATTTCCATGGCCCTCAGCCCTGTGAGGTCACTGGGCCTGACTGCGGTCCTGTTGGTAAGATCGTTGGACTGTGAGTGTTTCAGGGGCATCTGTGGGGGATCCAGATGTCTGTCCTCGACGCCTCTCTGCTCACTCTGGTGGAAACTCTGGCAATCATCTCCACAGCGACTGCTGCCCTGCTCTGCTGCACTTTTACACACACATGGTTTGCTCCCACATCTACAGGAAGCTACTTCCGATTCAAGGAGATGCACATCTTCCACTGAAGCGCTCTCTCCATTCATGTGTGTTTGACGGTTCTTTTCATCCCCCCGGTCGCCACTTGCCACTACGAAAAGCCTCTCTATGGAGTTTTGGGAAAGTAACATGTCAGACACGCCACTTAAGACCAACTTTCTTCCACAGGTCTCTGACAAATCCTGCTGAGAGTTTGAATTTTCTGAGCCCACGCTCCTACCAATGTGGTCAGTGTTTAGGCTTAGCTGAGACAACTCAGATTGTTCTGAATCCATGTTCAAAATGCACAAATCCTGCTGACACACTGAGCTTGTCCTGTCTTTTTCCAAACCGATTAAAATGTGATCTTCCTCCGCATCTTCTGGGCTGCTTATTTGCGGCGCAGAGACAGACTTAGTCAGTTTGCTGAGTTTCCGTTGTTGCTGGTCCTCCTCGTAGGGCAGAGAGCTAATTGAGGTGAGAGAGGCCTGTATGCCTCCACTTGGAAGGCTGCCGTTGCTCTCCATCCGCAGGCCTTCCAGACAGCTGCGATGGACTGGGTGGTCCAACACGATTTGTTTCGGGATCTCCCGCTCACTAGAGAAATCTAGAGAAGGTCGTCCCAGAAGCGCGACTTCCACGGGCCACGCCACCGAGCTCGGCTCGCTCTCGATACCCGAGTCTGAGATTACGGACGACGAGCGCTTCATGATCTTTGAGCTTACCATGCCTCCACGATGAGTCGTTTCTTTCCTGAGGTCTCCGGGGAAGGGAGGCAAAGCAGGACTCACGCTGTTGGGGGGAACATCTTCGCTGTCGTCATCCGTTGAATGATTTAAAGGCATAGCGACATCACTGTCCTCTTCAGTGTTTTTTTGCTCACTGGTTGTGCTATGGTTGTTACCATCACAAGGTACAGAAAAGTTTTCTCTTCCATTGAGAACAGGAGACTCTTTACCACTGTTGGTACAATCGGAGGAAAGAACAAGAGCTCCCTCTCCAGGAGATGGATCTGTAGGAAAGGGTTCATCATCAATGTTATGACTTTCTGCTGCTTCCTTCAACTTCTGATCGTCAACCATGGAATCTTCTGTATCACGCTCAGTGTGGATGTTGTTCTGGGTATCTATTACATCATTTTGCCTTTGACCCGCTTTGACTGGGACATGGACCGGAGTGTCTATGCATTCTTCACTATCCAAGGAATGCCGGGATAATGCTGGTGATTTTGCTTCCTGGCTGCTATGAAGAATCCGTTTGGGGGAGAATTCTTTGGTGGTTTCTTCTACTGGCACATGCAATACCGTTTCTGGGAGAACAAGCAAAGTGTAGTTAAGATAAAATCAGCAGCAAGGCTGGCATACGTCTGTAGAGCTTTTTCTACCTGTCAGCAAAGACTCTGCATATCTGTCCTCAAAGATGATGGGCAGGCTGTTCCAGTCTCCATCGATGTCCAGGCACTCGACGGGCAAAGGAGGCATTTTGGTCAAGTAGTCAGAGCTCCGCACTTCTGCAGCTATCTGGCCGTGCCTGTTGATTCTAAATAAGGAGGGATAATACTATAAATTCAACACTTTTCAACTAAAATGAAGCAACTTTCTGAAAAGGACAGAGACTCACAGTTCTTCCTGAAACGTCAAACAGATCTCTTTTGGGTGTTCGGTGAAGAAATATGCCTCTGAGAACCTTCTGACCTGACATTTCCAAAAACATGGAGAAAGAGAAAAAAAAAGAAGAAAGATTTTCACCTCAGCCAGACTCCGGTTTACTGTAATTAGCACAAGAACTGATAAAAATAGAAAGCTGAGTGAAATTCAAGTCCTGACAGCCTGTGCAGCAGAGCAAATCAACACTTTCTCTAATTAGAAACGCGTAAGCCCGAACAATAAGTGAGCAAGACATGGAGATCACCGGGAACACAGTTTCTTGTGTATTTCCTTTGACAGTAATTAGAAAATAAGTGTTAATTGAAACCCTACCTCTCCTAGAGAGAAGAGGCACGGCAGAGTTTTTTCTCAGGGTAATTTAATACAGAGGAAAACATGTTCAGTACTTTCAGTAAAATGAGGCAAAACGGTGCAGCAAAATCAAGTCCTGAGAGCTACTTTACAGTGAAGAGCATGCAGTGTTCATATTATGCAGACCAGCCATCGGATAGAAATGACTGGAAACCAAATTATCCTGCTCACATGGGCTTATGCTCCTGGGCACCAGCTGGCTTTGGATTTCCCACTTCCACAAAAAGAGCAGGAGTTGAACCTTTTCTACTGCAACCAAGAGCTTTCTGTTACATCAGGCTTTCCAGAACAACTCTTGCTTTTTATTTTGCATTACATCTCACTATGTCATTGTTGCACGGAGTTGTTTCTGTGACCGAGGAATGCCTTAGTTTTGGTCAAGAATTCAAACCTGTTTAAGTTTCCGATCCTTAAGAGTAGTGCTCCCCCTGCCCCACCTGTTGCTGTACACTGCCAACACTTCCCATAACCACACCCTCATCACACTGCTGGATGTCTGGCTTCCATGTACACATTGAAGGAGGACATGTTGCTATTGAAACACAAGGCTCTCTCATCGCCTTGCATCGATGAATCTGTCGATTATTCTGATTAATCGGATAAAAAACTGCCACATTCTACATATTTTTTATTTAACCAATTTTTTTGAGTCAGTATAATCCAGTCTCCAGTTAACAATAATTGATTACTAAATTAGTTGACGACTATTTCAATAATGGAATAATCACGACTAATACGATTAATCATTTCAGCCCTAATATTGCAACACATTTCACACAGTGACATACACAGTTTGGCATCCAGATTACCCAGGCTGGGTAGTTTTTACTTTGTCAAATGGGAACTTAATCTGACACGCCATGTACACCAAACAAATTCAATAAATTAAAATATTGACTGTTTCTCTTTGCTTGAGACTCACTCTAAGCGTGTGATGCTCCTGGGCCAGATAGGACAGGACGTAGGGGTTGAGCACAGCTGTCTCCAGGAAACGGCTCCACAGCGCAGCCAGCTGGGAGCAGAGCTGGCTCACGTCCCTGCTGATCTGTTCGGCTACCTTCTCATGGCCTTCCTGCAGCTGAGAAACACACATTCAGCTAATGAGGAGCGGAATGAGCAGGGAGTTCACAAGCAACGCAGCTTGAACCGCTCCATTTCCAGAGCTCACACCTACCGCCGCTGTGCTTCCTTTAATAAAACGTGCTAAAGACATTGTGTTGTTTCAAAAGTTTGTAGTTCAGTCATCTGCTGCATATATATATATATAGTCTCCAAAATCTAAATGAAAACCAAAACTGTTGATGCTGTTTGCAATAAGATGACCTACACTTGCAAATACCATCAAAATGAAATACGTCTTTTTTCCACAAACGTACCTGTAACTCTATGGAGAGCTGGTTTAGAATTTCCTCTACAGGCAGCAACTCTGTGGAAGAGAAGATATTTGCACGGCTTAGTGCAAAGATCATTTGTCCGTGTACCAGAATATGCTGTATTCTGGTACAGAACACAGCATCCATCTGTACTCTGTACCAATCTGTCTTGTCAAGTAAATGTCAAGACAGATTTACTTGACATTTCTCCATAGAAATGGATTAAGCTACTTTAATACAAGCCAAATAACTTATATTTGGCTTATATACTATCAGGATCTTGTTATAGTGGCTGTTTCAACATTTTAATGTCTGGTTTATAGTTTAATAAAGTTCGTTATTGTGTCATTTGAACACAGTTTCTGTGTTTTCCCCTAAAGCTTCAGACTTCCGATGTTCCTGAACAATCCAAAGCGTTGAAGCAGCCGGTGAACTCCTACCACCGTCCAAGACTGATGATCCACATTAAGCCTTTGTAAATCTTAATATGGTATCATACAATCGAGGCATTTTTCTTATTTTAATTCCAGAGCACTACCACAAAAACATAATGCAGGGTCAAAAAACAAAATTCTGCAAAATACAGAAAACATATTGAACATTTACTGCCTCTTTAACTTCCTTACAGACGCCACAAACTCGGGATCTCTTCTCTTCATTTATTATTCTGCAATAATTTCTGAAATACATTGCAAAAAAAAGAAAAAGGCTTTGAGACCAGAACAATCAACCAATCAATCAATGATCGGATTAAAAAGGTTCAATAAACATGTTTAAACCAAATGAAGAAAAATAATTTTTATTTTTTTTATCTTAAACTCAAAATGTACACACACACACACACACACACACACACACACACACACACACACACACACACACACACACATATATATATATATATATATATATATATATATATAACACAACTGCATATATATTTATAACAACTGCAGGTAACAAAGTTACGTGATTGTGCTATTAAATAGCACTACGTGCCTGGAAAATGCATAACACTGCCCCTTTAAAAAAAAGCAACAAAACTAGGTAAGCTCTGATTATAGTCAAAGCATCACCTGACTCCAGTGGAACCAGCTGCAGCTGCGGGATCTCCTGCCTCAGCGAGCTGCAGTAGGCCTGCAGCCCTCTGTGCGCGGCCAGCAGGAGGCGACAGAGCCTCCGGTGCCACGTATGAGCTCTCTGCAGGCAGTTTTCACTGGGCACATAAAAGCTTCCCTGCGGATACAAAGCACAGCACAGAAAATGTGAGCCGTTCAGCATTCACCTCTTAACGACGGACACGTTCACAGCCTTGCAAGCTCCACTGCAGCGTCCTGCAGCCAGCAGTTAGAACCATCCTGTTGTCAGCACCAAGCGCAGTCACGTTCATTATTTGGAGCAGGAATGGAAACAAATGGGCCTTAAACACACGGTGTGCCATAAAAGCAGGTCGATACGTTTCAATAGCATGTCTCCTCAGAGAGTTACCTTTATTGCTTTTAAAATGTTGCCGGAATGACGACTACAAGTCACTGCTTGTTTAAGGGAAGAGGAATAATAGTAGTGTGCACAGCTGATAAAAATAATAATAATTTTAGCTAAAACTGAGAAATTTTGTTCGTAACAAGAAGAGAAACCCAAAGATATATCCAAGATTTTCTCTTTGACCTGTCGTGTGGACTTTATTCCACCAGATGGCGCCCTAACAGAGCAATAAAACTGCTTTGTGTGCCTCACCAGACGAATTCACAGCATGGATTTATTTTACTAACACAAAATCTCATGTATGTCACTGAAATTTAACGTGACTGACCCTTCAGCAGTTCCTTTTCCTCCCAGCGCCTCAATAAGTGCATCACAGTGGCAAAGGTTTTTTTTTTCTTTTTTACATATTTATACCTAAAAATAACAGTATATGTCTGTTAATTTCTAAATAACTTCAACTGAAACCAAGGTCAGTGATCACCAGTCAACCTGCATATAATGCAAACTCTGAATAACTTCCACCAGGTCTGTCAAGGCCTCAGAGGTGGCAAGTAACAAAGTGAAAGTACTTTAGTAGATATTCACGTATCTGCACTTTACTTGGGTATTTATTTTTCTTAGAAATTTTTACTTATTCTCCTTAAATTTGAAGAGAAATATCTGAACCTACTACTCCGTATAATCTCGGCAACGCCACGTTATTTCTATGATGAAAACATAATAAGGTAAAAGTTGAAGCAAAAGAGGAAAAAACATATACTGGCGCAAACAGAAAGCATTTTGCATCATTGAAAGTAAAAGTTATTTGCTTTTTATTTTGTATTTAAGTGCATTTAAAAACCCATTACTTTTTTACCTGCACTTAAAAAATTTTTTTCATACAATCTGTACTGTCTTTTTCATACAAGTACAGTATCTGTACTTCTGCTTACGTAGAGAATGTGAATACTTTTGACTCCTGGTTAGTCAACTAACATCATCCGCTCTCTTTCTGAAGGAAAAGGAACAGAGTGGGCAGGAGTTTTAGCAGAGTTAGGTTATAAAACAACACAAACTTTAAACACAGCTACATTCATCATCAGAAAAGGGAAATTGTATTGAACAGTTGTAAACCTGCTGGATCTGACTGGTCAAGTATGGAGAGCAATAATCAGAGAAGCAGCCAAGAGGCCAATAGATGCGGAATCCATATTCTGCATCCATAAATCATGTGGACGCAGGAGTTCGATGACCTCGCTCCGTACTTTCAGGATTTCTTGAATCACTATTAAATGTGACCTCCACAGCACAGCAGTAGGTAATTTGGGGTAATGCAGAACTGCTGCAGAGACCCAAAGCTCAGGTTGGAGAAGATATTAATGTGTTTGCGTTGAATTCTACAAATCTGGCCTTTATGGAAGAGTGACTTTATGGGCAGAAGAAGGTCCTTGCTCAAACAAAGCCATAAAGAGTCTTGTTTGCTTTTCATCATAAACCATGAAGGAGACACAACAAAAATGTGTGACGTGAGGTAAAAACTCAACTTCCAGGCCCACATGCAAAGCATTTTGTGTGGCCGAAACCTAACAATGATCGGATCATGTCAAAAGCGAAATACGGTTTTATTTATATGGAACATTTCAGCAACACAGCAGCTCAAAGTGCTTTACTTGACAAAAACATAATAAATAAACACAAAGCATTACACCATAGTGTCAAAATAAAGAAAAGTTTCATATTGGAAGAAGCTGGTCTGGTCTAATGAGACCAAAATGGTCTCATTCTGGTCAACATGAATAACCCTAATTGAGGAGGCAGAAACAAACCACACTGTCCATAAAGTGAAACATGGTCAGGCTTTTACTGCCCTCCAACCACCTTGGTTGCTGTAAAGATATTTTACAGAGTATAATGGGCAAGTGTTTCAGGGTCCAGAGGTAGAAAACTGATAAAGTCACCAAAAGAGTTGCATTGACTGATTTGAATACACTTCACTTTAACTCTTTTCTCTTTTGAAACCATACTTCCACTTATGAGCCACTTCATGGCAAAACCACAAATCCTTACCAAGAAACCTTGGTCGAGTTTCCAGTGCAAACATCTTGGAACACTTGAAATAAGACAAACAAACCTACAACTATAACTTTTTAGAAAGATGTAGGAATTTCTTTTAAGCCAACAATTCATTAATATCGGTGAAAAACTACCAGTTCCCCACTGGCAGAGCTTTTTGACTTGTAGTAAAATATTTTTCCTCATGTTATAAGAGAAATAATATGCCAATGGAATAAGTACTTTTCCGTCAGTGTTAAGGAATTATTGGTTTAAAACAAGCTTCTATATCTCGCTGACACATGACTCGTAAGTTAATTTAATCTTATTTTAAGTCTACTACAATATTTGACTGGAAACCAAACCAAAAATACTTCAGATTTAATGTTTTTGCAGTGAATTTGTGTTGATCTTTCACATAAAAACTCAATATAACGTTTCTGGTTGTAACAGAGCATAAGAAAGCTCAGTGGACAGTCTCAGGATCTCCCTTAAAAACTAATGGATCAACACAACAGCCACAATACTGCAAAGCCAGGAGATCCGTGTCTTCCTTTGGTGGAGTTCTTCCCAAGGCCGTAATGTTTTAACAGCGCCGCCGCGGCTCGGCTCTGGGACTGACGGAGGATGTGCTGCAATTCGCCCCGAGCGAGTCAACTCACCGGCCCTGTCATCATACATGCATGTGCTCTGTAATTCCAGCTGCGCATCACACTCGAACCAGGAAGGAACATCTGTATGTTTACTTTAATATTTCTTTGTAGCTTTCTAGATGCCTGCCAAGATCAGTTCGAGAATGAGAAACAAAGAAAAACAGCTATTTTTTCGGATGAACTAGTCATTATATTACCAGCTTAAAATGCACCACAATGATATTTGATATTTCTGGGGTGTCATATATAAATGTGTATTCTGCTAAATAATCATTTAATAATAGAAATGATTATTTCAGACGCAGAAATCTGCTGTTACCAAGGCCATTTTGTACATCGGTTCGTGATTTTAGCATTGTCATTCAAAAAGGAGCTGTTGAAATTCTGATGACATTATGGTTTCGTTTTATTCAGCCAAAGAAATCTGAAACACATGACGGTTTCCTCCAGAAGGATCAGGGAATAATTACAGGACAGAGCCCGTGTTAAGAAGGAAAGTGATTAAAAAAAAATTTTAAAAATCGTAGCTGCGGGTTAAAGAGCCCAAAAATAAATAAAGGATGAGGGAGGAGCCGAAGTTCTGAACACATTTCACCTGCAGGTATGTGGTACGTGGCGCTTGTGAGCATAACTCGCTGCTTTGATCAAACCAAACCGCCCCCTGTGGCTTAACCAGAGCTTATTAAAGCGCCCAGCAGGAGGTGGGGGTGGGGGGTTAATAGGGTGAGGCAGGGGGCTAGCTCTGGAGCTCATTAGGATTTACAGTGCTGGCTGTGACGTCCGCATGCAGGGAAAAAAAAAACGCTACCTGCAGCTTTACAACTGTACTTTGAAATAATTAGAGAACATGCAACACACTGAGAAAAGTACAATATGATTTCATATCTGCGCTTGTTGCATGTTCTCGTTTCTAAATTCTGCTAACAAGAGCAGAACGGCTAGATGAGCGTTACCGGAGGAACCAGAAAGTCGTTTGATAATGTCTAATTATTGATCAAACTCGACATTTTCCTGTATATGCGATGAAAATCAACGACAACTGAATAAAAAAAATGGAACAAGTATCTGTTTACAAATCTATTCGTCTCCTGTGACCAAGAGACGTTTCAATTTGTTAAATTACAACAATCTCTGCCCAGGAAAGTCCAGAAGAGGCCATACTCAAGTGACCAGATTTACATTAAGTTAACAATAAGACAGTAACTGTAACCCTACCCATTTAAAATTTTGTTGCGCTTTCTTGCATAACGACAACAAAAAGGAAATCTAATTCTTCTATGGTTTCGAAAGTCTCCAAATCCCATCGCATTAAAGTGGATGCACTGAACCAGTTAAAATTTCAAATGAAAATCTAACTGATAATGCGTATTGATAATAGATGGCAAGTGTAGTAGAATAAGGTGTTTTTTTGTCATTATTTCTGCCTGGGTTGTCTTTAATGCCATCAACGTTTTGGCAAATGCCGCGTGCCAATGAATCAAACACCGTTAAATGTTGCTCCTGCCATGTGGCTCGACAACACAATGTGTGACCAAACCTGTAATACCTAAGATTTTTTCATTGCCATAGTGTGTGGTCTGTCCGGTTACCAACCAGGAAGTAGGTAACTGGATTGCATAGATGCTATAGACACAGCGAGTGTATAAGAATTAAAAATATTCACAGCAGATGTGCCACAGAAGCCTGTCACACTACTGCATGCTCCCTGTTGATGGCTACCATCAGTTTCAGATGGCCATGCTGAGGCCTGCATGCAGAGACATGTGGGTTACTCTAACATTATGAACAGACACATTGCTGCACAGTGGTAATCACTGCGTCGAACTTCAGAGCCCAAGCAATAGCAGATTCAGAAGCAGAATATGTGATTCTCAATCAGGATGATGCACTCAAGTCAGAAACCAAGTTCCAAAACTGTTACGTTTATGTCAGTGTTTTGTTCAATGCCTTTAAAAGAGACAGGCAGCGGAACACCTGGCAGACTGAGGACGACGTGTTGAGTGAGATATAATTAGCTTTGACTTTTCTGCAAAAGGTTAACATACCTCAGAGATGACAGGCTTGCAGTAGCCAGCTCCGAACACCAGGTTCTCCACAGACACAGCAGACGGGTCGCTCACGCTCTCAGGCGAGCCTTTCCCCAGCCAGGTGCCCTTCCCCGTGCGCGCAAAGCTGGAGAGAGAGCAGAGCGGACGCATGAATTGACTGGCAGTGAATGTGTGTGTGTGTGTGTGTGTGTGTGTGTGTGTGTGTGTGTGTGTGTGTGTGTGTGTGTGTGTGTGTGTGTGTGTGTTTGTGTGTGTGTGTGTGTGTGTGTGCGTGTGTGTGTGTGTGTGTGTGTTTTGGGAAAAGCAAACTTAATGATATTGTTTCTGGTTAGATAACTTCAAATTCAGTACCCTGCCATAATAGAAACTGCATTTTAAGCATTTCACTTCTAAAATCGTGTGTAGCCATGTCTGCGTACATTATCAATTTATCTATTGGTTGGCACAAGAAATCTGAATTTTAACTCCTTTAAACCCCCGAACGTCATTTCTGTTAAGAACTTATTTGTTTTTTTTTATAGCCGTCATACAGGAATCTTGTTCGGGTTCTCAAACCCAATTTCTTTGGTGTCTTTAACAGAAAATCCAAAGAAACAAAGCATAATTCTGCAATTTACTCGGCTTTGCATTACTAACTCACTGTTTGTATCGAAAAGGAGACAGATATTCAGATCATTTGACATCCCACTGCTGAGTGGTACTTATCCCAGTGCTCATGTGTGGCTTTCTGTCTAGCAGCTGTACCTTCAAAAACAGATACAGTAGATGACAGGAGACTTAATCACATCAAGCATACGCAGTGACCAAAATAACAGAAGCACTCGACCACACACGATCCGAATGTATTTGAACGATGAGGCGTAAACGAGCAACGGAGCTGGCAGTACGGATGAACTGGTGTTCTCTTGTCGGTGGCATGTGACGATCTTTTGAGTCAGGGTGTGAGCAGTAATTTGGCCAGGAAAGGACGGAGACAGTGGTTGCTGGGTCGTCCACACTTGGTTAAAGCTAGGCTGAAATTAGGTCAGTGGAATATTAAACTTGTGGAAGATGGGGGGTGACTGACCAAGCAACACCTTAAAACCCATCAGAACTCCTAAAATCACTACAAGAGGTGACCTGGAGGTTTGCTAATGAGGCTCTTTTGTATTCATTTAGAACTATGATTTGGTCGAACATGGAACACCTGCTTCCTATATGGCGCATTGTTCCAAAAGCAGCCATCCCAAGACTGACAACACAATCATCTACTATTGGTGTGGTCTCTCCTGTCTTCCTGGTTTCCTGACATTCCAACTGGTTCCCATGTTAAACCAACCCTCATGCTGAGCAATTGTCCAAACCCAAAATGCTGCTCCCTTCAGACTCCATCAGGCAATGCAGGCTGACGCACTTTTATGAGAGAACCCCAACGCCCAGTCGTCTTCACTTCCTGCTTAGACTAACTGATGGATGCTTGGTCACGTCCTCTGGAGACGGCTCCACTGAATTAACACCTCTGTGCAAATGAAATCATTTACATACCCACTGTCAGCTCAAATTGTGAGAGTACATTGGGTTTTTTTTTTTTTTTGCTTTGTTGCATTTTTTGTGAAACGTTTGCAAACCGTAATGAAACTCTACCTGATTAGCGGTTGGTGTAAGGCAACCAGTGAGGCATGCACGGAGACAGAAATGACAGACAAGTGGAAGTAGTCAAACATGACAGGGACGTGATGGTGAAGGCCTCGCCGCGGATGGAAGTGGAGCCTCAGGGTCCGACTGCTGATCAATGGGACCGTCACTATCTCTGCCAACCTGGAGAGATTATAGATGGCAGACGGAGTAGAAGGGAACAACAAATATTTCAGTATTTAATACTTCTCTTGGCCCGCTATCACCAAAAACCGCAGGTTTTAACCAAGTGAGCAGGAAAACCTACTGCTGCTCATTGTCGGTGAAGTGAAGATCCAACTTCAACTGGAAGTCCACCTCACTCAAGGCTTCCTCCAACTGCAAAACCCACAAAATCATATTCATGCATGATGTCACTCAATCATCAGAAATGATGAATAAATTATTTGTTACCAAGTTGACCACCATGAATGCACCTTTTTTACTCAACACACAGAAACGTGCCTTTCTGGTTGGCCAAACTTGCTTCGTCACTTCAGGTGAAGGGCGTTTATCGTTTATCATTTATTGTGATGAATGTCGCACAGAGGCTGACGTTTTCGGCTTTTTTTCTAAAAATGATGATTTTCCACTAAATTATAAAAACACATCTGAGATTAGAATATTACATTAGACCAATAAAAATATATATTTTAATACAGAAATGTGGGTTTGATGAAATAGAAGTTTAGTATGTGCTTAAAGGTTAATATTTTCAAAGCGTATCAATTTCAATTGGAGCACCTGTTCTAATTCATTAGATATGACTGTATTTAGAGGTATCACAGTAAATACACTCCTTCACAATTACACTGTGTTGGCCTAATAAAATGTTAAATGAAAAGCTGTTTTTACAGTGAACAAACAAAAGCCTGTATTAATTATGGAAGCAGCACTATCTTAAAGAAAAAAAAGGCTTTCCTTTTTTGTATCTCAGCAGAGTGCAAGTACAAATGTTTTCAGTTGTGCCTCGCATCGATGTTTAGATTGATCAAGCGTACGTTCGTGTGTCCGCAGGGGAAATGAAGGGCTATTTGTGTCTGTGCTCTCTGTGGCTCTGAGCAGCAGATGACCTCCGGAAGGTTAATGAGCGGGAAGCTCTCAGGAGGTCCCTTGCACGTGTCTGAGCCTCCACTTAAACTTCCACATTTGATGAAATCTCCTAAAATTAGAAGTGTTTCAAGAGGACCAGGGAAGCCGTATCAATCATGGAAGGAAAGGGTTGATGCGCCAGCAGCGGGGGACCTAACAGGTGATTAGCTCTGAGTAGCACCGAGCTGCCCACAGAAGATGGCTGCCTTCTCTCCAAAGCGGGCCGGGTTCGATCCTCCAGGATGAATCCACGGTGAAAACGGAAAGGACAGCACATCGATAGCTGTCCGCCAGGTTTACAGAGATGGTCATTGGAGCCGTAACGGCCATTCTGGGGCACAGACAATTAACATGCATGTCAGCTGAAGCGTATCAATTCCAGGAGGCAGATCACTGAACCCGCTGATCCTCGAAGTGGGTGATGCATCTCTTAGTAATAATAAAGGGCAGCGCTCATTTGGACAGCAGATTAGCTTTTCTAGCCTGCAGCTTTGCCCCAGTATTGACTTCCTCTCTCTAATTTCATCATCATAATAATTAAAGTCAAAATATTTTGAGGGATGTTATGTTTGACAGTTAATCACTATGCTAGTAGGTTCGGATCCAACTTGAACCTACTAGCATAACATAAGAATGTCATGATGATCACATTTATTGATCATTATTATACTGCACATCACTTTTTAAAACGGTAATCCACCAATCAGTTTGCTCATCTTAATGCAGAACAACGACCTTCATTTCTATTTACACAATAAGAAGCTATTTGTCTTTAATGATCCTTTTATTGCCACATCAATAACTAATATAATTTTTTAAACGGTATTCTCTTTTTTCAGTGTGTCTCTTTTCAATGCTTTCAAAACGCACAAGAGACACACAACAGCTTTGTTGTTGTTGTTGTTTCTGTTTGTTACATTTAGCAGCAACAATTGAACAAATTTGAACATAGAACCTATTTTAATATTGGACAAATACACTTAAAAAACAGAAATCTGTTTTCAAAATGATTGATTTTTTTCAATGGACATCAAGCAATTCAGACCAATTAATTGTCCCCCTTATTAAATGATTTAACTGTCGAGTCAACTTATCGCTGGTCACACTCCCGTCTGAATACTTGCTGCTGATCTGACATCATGAAGCGAGTCAAATGAGCTCAAATATGAAAAAAAAAACCCAACAAACAAACAGAAATCTAAAGAAATCCAGAAACAGATATGAAAGTGTTTACATGCAGTTCTGAGAAATACACTAATATAAAAAAAACAAACCTTTCTATTCAAATTGCTGTGTTTCTATTAAGATCGTTTATTTTCATAAATCCGATTTGCGCAATTTTAAGGTGAACGGAAACGCAGATTTTGATGAAATCCTGTGATTAGAGTGTGTTAAGGCTGAGAGACATTTCTATTGTAACATTTACTGCTACACCCTAAGAGGATTGTAAAGGGAAGAACGGCCTTTTAGCTTAATAAGGACACAGTAGAAAGCACCATTAGTTAATACTAACTGTATTTGTTTCTTTATCAGGATGTAAAGCAGGAGTCCACTGAGAGCTGAGGAACATTTAATAATGACTTTTTAATGTTTTCTCAGGAAAACAGGAAAGCAAACTACAATGTGATTGTTTTAACTGCTGTGCTGTATATACTCACCGTTTTAAATTCTACTTTGACTAGAAAATTAAGTGGGTTTTTGTACAGATAATGTGTGACTCACCCTTTCTCCATCCAGCAGTAGGTGGACTTTGAAGATCATGCAGTCGTTGACAGCAATCTCCTCGTTTCTGTAGAGGATCTGAAAGATCCGGCTGAAGACGCTGCCGTCGTACACCCCCATGGAGCTGAAGCTGCACTCTCCTGGTGGAGGACATGACCAAACGGCACAATAATTAGCAGCTTGCTGCTGCAGGGCGATCGTTAGCGCGCTCAAGGGCAACCATCAGTGTGCACAGTTCACATGTCAGGCCTGTTACAACTAACTAGTTGTAAAAAAAATAAAAATAAAGATGGCAGAATATTTCCTTTTGCTTTAAAGTGGACGTATTATGTGTTTTCCAGGCACATAGTGCCATTTTATAGTACAATCATGTCGCTATGGTATTATCAGTTATTCTAAAAGAATACTCTATATATCAAATAAGTCTTAAAATAAATATGATTTTGCAATTTAACGCCTTGAAATTGGCAAACATTCTGGGACATTCTGGGAGACAGACATTTAACATGCAACAATTCCAGGAGGCAGATCGCTGAACCCGGCTGAAATTGGGCCTCTGTAAAGCTCCTGCTCTTTCTGAATCTGCGCCTTCAGGAAGTCATCACAATTCTTTCATGACTTCCTGCACTGCACTGCAAAGGCGTAAACTCGTAAACTGCAGCTCTGAGGAGGATCTTTGTCCTCGAAGGCGGAGCTAGGTCCACCAAGTTGTTTGGCCGTTGTGATTAAAGGATTTCTCCAATATGCATGAAAAAAAATAAATAAATCAAAGCAGCACACCAGGTATGTTTTTGATGAGGGGATGACGTTATAACATACCGTCCCTTTAAAGTGATCTTACGTTTGACATTTCTGGTAATTCTCTTGCTGTTTGCATCTTTTCCTCCTTAACTTCTGCTGCAGAAAAAAAAAAAAAAAAAAAACTTGCTTCCCACTGTGAGTCCCAGGAGGTCTCAGTAATCCCCCCGCTGAGCTTTTGCCCTTTTCCGTCCCGTTCTCATTCTGCCCCTCTCCGCAGGCCTCCTCCCAACAAAGCTGTCGCTTTACCTGCAGCATCAAGCAGCGCGAGGCGGGAGCATTGATGTGCAGCAGCGCCAAATGTCAAAGACTCTGTGGTCGTGTCAAAGCTGAGATTTTCTGAAATGCCTCCTTTTTTTCGGAATCTATGACTCTTTTTTTTCTCCCCCAAGTGCTTCTTCTGTGCACTTGATGAAATTCTTTTCAATAATGCACTAAATGCTAATCTCCCACATTCCATTCGCTTAGGGGTGTGTGAGTCTTGATCTACATCATCTGCTGAGGAAAAAAGCTGATTTTCCCTTGATGCAAGAAAACATGGAGGACCTAAGCACAGAGACGAAGTGGAAAAATTACACCTTAAAGTGTGAAAAAAATATTACAGCATACAGCTGTAATTTTTTTAAAGGAGCTCGTGAGAAATAAAGCAACATAAAGAGGTTAAATCCAGCGAAAGAGGGACCAGAGGAGCTAATTACAGGTGAGTGGTCGCAGCCGGGGAAGGGAGCAGGTAGAAGCAACATACCTGTTCGCTTCTGATTGTCAGAGGAAAAAGAAATTATTAGGTAATAGACAAATGTATTAGTATTGAGAGAGCAAAAGAGACACTGTACCCCATTACTATGTATGCTTAACATAATAGGAAGTCAAGCTACTACCTTCATGCTTATTTTATCTGGATCTGGTGTGATTTTACTTCAGCAGAGAATACATCGATATTCACTGCAAGAACACAAAATCTTACCATTGTTTTGTTAATTTTGGCCTGGTTTCTAATGCAGGCATCTCAGTACAGTTGAAATAAGACAAAACTGTAAGTTACAAGTAACTTGTCAGCAACTTTAATATTGATGAAAAAGTGTCTTCACTTATAACGAGACATTTTCTCCATGTTAGAAGTGACATGATCTGACACTTGTTAAAACAAGCACCTGTGTGTTGCTGAAAAGTTATTTGTAAGTCTTTTTTGTTTTGGTCTTATTTCAAGTGTACCAAGATATTTAAACTAGAAACTAGACCAAAAGAGTTACTTGGTAATATTTTGTGTTTTTGCAGTGTAACTCTTCGATAACTCGACAAATTGGACTCCTGCAGACGTGCGGTGGCATTTGACCCCCACCAGCCACAGAGGACGCTGGAACGCGTCAGGCAGCACTTGACAGGGATGACGAGGGTCACATTGTGGGCTTCCATGAGGCTGAGTGGTAGGATTACGCAAGCGGCGGCCATGTTGGGCCGACAGATGGCCTGATTCTGAAACCAACGGGTAAGCCAGGGCACCCACACACACTCGGTGGAGTCTTTGATCATCCGAAGCGACGCCAGGGGTCGACGCATCGTGTGCCAAGCGTGACAGGAAGCCGTGACATCTGTGGACGTCTTCCAGAGACGAGGATCACAATCCTACTGTCAAAACAAACGCGTGGGCTCGCTGTCGGATGCTCCATCAGCCTTCTGGTGACATATCTGCTACTTCATCCATGATACCCGCTGTATATCTACAGCTAACATGAAAAGTTGTCACACCTGTGATAAAGTGCCAGGTTTTTGTGATTTATTAAAACGAGACCAAAATAGGGGAGGGCTTGATGTGGTTTTATCACAATATTTTGTGGTGTTTTTGTGATAATGATAAAAATGTTCATAAGAACTACTCATTACCTCTTTTTTTTCTGTAACTGTATGGATGTGACTGTATGAAATGGCAATCAAAGGCCCACAAGGGCAAACACTGCTCTTGAAAACCAATTTGAAATAAGCTTCTTTAGGATGCCAGTCACAGAAAGAAGTGTGATTTGTATAACCAAACTGCATAGTGTTTCTGTATTTCACCATATTTTCAAGTTTGTCGATATTCTCCCGGTGGAGAAATAAGTAAAACAATCCCAACAACGGCAGAGCCAGTTCTGATGGGTTTTAAACAGACATATTTGGAATTTATCATGACGACGACGGATCAAAAATTCTTGTCGCGGTAAGAAATCTATCTCGACGAATGATAAACGATGCGATAAATAATCAGGCCTCGACCAAAATAAACATTGTCATGGCAATTTCCTTCTTCAATGTGATCCATTACCTGTTCAGCTTAATTGTAAAACCAAAAAAGGAAAGAAAAACTTTCTCTTTTTGAAAGACTGAGGGAGAGTTAGAAGTTTTTTTCATTGATCTGGTGCAACGTTCTAATCTTACATGTTGTGTTTTCATCACTTCTAAGTGAAAAGGCCTCATAATTAAGAGAAATGAAGACTGGAAAACACTGATTTGTGTGTAATTCAAGTATGATGTGTGAGTCAGTTACTGAAATATAAGGATTTGAAGTTTAAGAGTGTAAACAACTTTCCAAACAGAGGGGTTTAGGTTATTATTTTTTTATTTATCTTTATGTGACTCACATTTGTGTTTGAAAAAAAAAAAACCCTGAAATTTTAACAGGAATGAGTGAAGATTTTATATCCACTGCACCCTCCCTTCAATGCTCTGCAGATTCTGATCCAATCAAACCATGATTCTGGTTTCGAGTACTGCGTTGTTGTAATTTATTTTTACTTCGGTTGGAAATGTTGGCACGTTTTGTTCCCGCACTACCGTGCGCACCAGGCCGGGTTCTGACGGTTTGGGGCAGCGAGACGTTAGAAACCAGTCAGCGATTCTCCACTGGAAATAATCTCCAGCGGACTATTCACCTACAACCGCTCTTTATTGTGCCAATACAAGGAAAACACCCAGTTCGTCCTAGGAGAGGTAGCGCATCTCTTGATGTTTAAACACTCAATACCCCAACAAACACAAATCAAATGACTCGGTAGTGGGGGAAAAAAAATAAAATCCTTCACACAAAATCCCTCTTTTCCCCTCCACCCCCCAGAAACGTCACGCTGGATTATTTCCGGTGTGAGTGTGGATGCTTTAATCCATTTCCGTGGCTGGAGAGCTGATTGGTGCATTTTAAATTCAGAATCCAGCGTGAGAGGAGTGCGCTGCCTAATGCGTGACCTTGTGAGGGGATCTGTGGAGGAGAGGACGGCTGCAGCCCTGATCCTCACTGTAACACACGCTGCTGTAGAGGATGTGAAAAACATGCTGGTTTAAGATAAATAAATAAATAAATAAAAAACCTCAGTCCATTTATTCAGACCTGCTTAATTTCGCAACCAGATGATTACTTTTTTTTGTTTGTTTTTTTACACCAACAATATGTCAAAGTAAAACCATTACAAATATCAAACTGGGAGCTAACTCAGAGGGCAGACACATCCCTTGTGTGCGTGCGTGCGTGCGTGCGTGCGTGTGAAGAGAAAAATCCAATATGTCGGCTCACCTGCATTGTCTGCAGTTGTCACGGTCAACCTGTGGGGCACTCGAGGTGAGACTTTCAGTGCTGCTCGTATCTGGTAGAAGCTGAGAAGACACAAAAACCCGGCAGTTAAAAATACATATAAACAAACAAACAGCGACACTTCCTTTTGATAACACAACACCAGGAATTGTTCCAGTTTTCAACTAAGATTTTACATACAAATTTATGTAAATTTTGGTACTGAAAAAAGCTGAAAACTACCTTTGGTTTTTTGGTTGTTTTTTTGGCTAGCTAGGCAAATGGCCTGATTCTGAAACCAACGGGTAAGCCAGGGCACCCACACACACTCGGTGGAGTCTGTGCATACAGAGGTTTAGCTCTGTATGCCAGAGCTAAACCTCTGGCCCTTTGAAATGCTGGATTCAGCCATATTCCAGCTTCAAAATGTGAAGTAGTATCAATAAGGTGGAGGGTGGACATTTTTGACACTGGATTTCGGACATCTCAATTTCAAAAATGTGAAATTTGGTCAGAATGTGGAGTTGTGCTATCGTAGTGGGACACGATCAAGCTAAGACATGTTTTGGAGAAATAGACAGAGAGCTTCAATTCAACTTAAAAATTTTAATATTTACACATTCGACATGCTGTTGTGTACCATTTCTCTTACGTCCAGAGATCTGAATGGCAAAGAAAGCCTTTAATTTAATTTAACGTTTAATTTGTCTGCTACCTGCTAAAAAAAAGGTTAATGTTTTAAATTATAGACATCCTGATAAGTGTTTAAAAAGGCTCAATGTCACATTTTGAGTTTGTTTACATAATATGAAAATATAAAAAATGAAACACTTCCACACTTTTAGATTACAACTCCAAAGTTTTATATATTTCATTTGATTTCATGAATGTCAAAGAGGAAGAATGAAGACGCTTTTTTGTCTTATAAATAGAAATCTTTTGAACATTTGTGTCCAGCCCCATGAGTCGACGCCAACTAGAAATCCTTTGAGTGTGTCTCTGCACATGTACACTGTGTGCTCACTAATTAGGGAAGTAAATACTTGAACATTCTGTTTGATTTTAATTTGGGCCCTGTCCACACTGCGTTAATTATTTGCAGGCTAAATACAAACATTTACAGATGACAGGGACATGTACCGGTGATCACTTATGAACCTTCAGCTCACCAGAAACACAAACCCCAGATGGAATACTATTGCTGCTGTTCCAGCAACAAAAGACAAACAAAACCTAAATCTGACTATGGTGGATGTTTTGCCAATATTTAATTATTATTGCCAGATCAGTAATTTGTAAATTACTTTAGCAAAAAAAAAAAACAAAAACAAAAAAATAGTTAAAAATTAAAGCCTTTGTGAAACATATTCTGTTTCTTTAACAAAACCTTCACCAAACAGATTATGACTCCACGCCTTGCCTATGATTAGCATGCATTTATTGATTTTTCCACAGTTCTTTATGATGTGGGCACTGCACTCACTAATCATGTGATCTTGCAATGATAATAAACTTGCAATATGTTGTGTTGGGATGACTGACATCATGCTAATCTAAACCCTGTTTCAGTTGGATTTGCTCTCTGACCTGATGCGTGCTAATTACCATCCCTAATATAAGTTAATGACAATGTATGTTGGATTATGGAAGTTTTAGTACTGCAACACCACTGTAGTCCTGCAATGTGAAAGAATTAACGGGTGACAATTTATCAGATGCATACATTTCAATTATTATTCTGTAGCCATAACAAAGTTTTATTTGCAAAGCAGCTGTAGAAGATCCATTAGTCAATATTTGGAAGAAACCTCTGAAACTCTGTCATGGTATTCAAACTTCTTAAAACCGTGGTAGTTTTTTATTTTTTGGGAAATTTGAACTTAACGCTTAATTACATAACAAATCCAACCAGTCTCCTGAGTTTATGACAAAATGTGTTCTTACGTTTACATCAAAACACAAGAAAGTGGGGAAAAAAAAGAAGAAAAAAAATCCTTTACTGTATTTACTGTTGTGGTGCCTAGTAGGCCAGTTACAATAAGCAACAAATCAATTAATCGCATGATAAAATAAAGTGAACAATAATTTCCAGGTGCACTCTCTTATTTGATTTGGTCGCACCTCTCTCTTGCTATCAAAGAAACAGAGCAAATTTGTACATTTTGTACTGCTCACATCAACTGACATGCTACTTAATTAATTTTTTTTTTTTTACAAGTCAGCTCAGTGAAAGATATTTCTCTTGTAGTTTAAATGAATGCAGGTGGGGCAGAGCTAATATCTGCTTTAATTCAAACTCCAACAATCGATGCTTGGAACAAACTGAAATATGAAAACTTGTATTTGTCGGGCAGGTCAAGTCAGGTCAGGTCGGTCCGTCTCTGGACACAGACATGGCTTCACTGTTCGGTAGAGCAGTCGAGAATGTCAGTCTGGAATAAATAAGGACAGCTTTTCATGGCCACATTAATTCACTATCTCCTGCAATAAATTGCATTAAATTCTATTATCATTCAGTCAACTCAATGATAATTTATAGGTGTCAGTTTCCCATTTATCAGTGCAACTCTGAACTGTGAATTCTGAAAGATCTGCAATCCTTTCTTTCTTTTTTTTTTTTTTTTTTACTAACCTCCTCTACTATCTGAGGGAAGGAGGCAGACTGTGGGAGCAGAAATATTACTTCACTAAGATAAAAGTACAATCGTGACGAAGCTTGAAGCTTGAGCATTTTTAATTTGGACTTGAAAAATCTACTTTGCTGAAGCCACAAGCCCGTGGCACTTTTTTTTTCATCTTCTTGCAGACACGTCGTGCTGGGATTAACAATCCCTTTTTTATCTAATGAAATACCAGAGAAAGAAAAGGAGAACTTGCTCTGTTGTCATTTCATTTGCTTTCATCTGAACCAGTTTGCATGTAATTTTGTTTTGGTTGGATGTGCTGTAAATTAAAGAGCTCCTCCAATTAACTGACTTTAAGGAAGTGCAAGGATTACACTATATGTGCTTATGAATTAGGCTATTCATATGCACATATAGTAGGTGTATATATTCATATGCACAGAAAGTCACATGCATTCGTATGCACATTTAAAAGACGTTCTCAATGCTTGATGTAAATGCCACATGCAGAAATGGACAAATTTTAGGTGTTTCGAAGGTGAAAGGTCATCCTAACATCCTGGTTGTCAACAAACAACTGCTTATGCAAGCATATAATTACACTATTCAGTCTAATTCTATGCTTTAATGACATGCCTTATTTGTCATTTTACATTATATTGAGAATTCCTAGTTGCACTTGGTGAACCGTTTGAAAGGTTTGTTGCAGTTTATGTTCACACGTTTCACCAAAGTAGTTTGTCAGTTGCAGCTTTTTAATGTTGATTGTTTTGCTCCTAACTGCACGGACTGAATAAATTAAAGTTGCGTTGTTTTTACATGTTTGACAAAGCATGTGAAGCTACTGGTGCATTTAAATGTACTGGTGCAGCACTATTAAATAAAGGCGTAATTTACTACATTTATGTGAGTTTAAAAAAAAGAATTGTTTTAAGTCAATTCAGCCATTTTTCTGCATCGTATCAGTATCAGCTGATACTAAGCCTCAAGTATTGGCATTAGAAGCGCGAGAAAGTGGATCAGTGCAGCAACAATGTGAACAGAAATCATTAAGTTTTCCATATTTAAAGAACAAGAATGTTAGTTGACAGATTTTCCTATACCAATAATGTTTCACTTGATATTCCTTTATTTGTGTTCTCTTCATTAAGAGATCCACAGAAAATTCTGCTGTTGACATGAGTTTGGCAGTTTGCAGTCAAATCAGCCCAGATCAGCAACAATGTTTACAACTGGAAAATCTACTCTTTTTATAATCAATGAACACATCATAGTAAGTAAAGATATACATTGGCATTAACATCCGTTATCAGCCAGTAATGAGGTTATTCTCAGCATATCATATTGATCCAAATTTCCGGTTCAAACTTTTACAAATGTCCCAGCAGCAACAAGTTGCCCTAAAAGTTGCTGTCAGTATCTACAGGTACGCAGACATCGAGAAGGTGATCCATTCTTTTCGTTTATATAAGCTCGAACAGATGGAGGGCAGATGGCAGATGTTTAATGCATGAATCGCTCAGTCATATCTGGAGCTGCTGCAAAGCCATCTTTGATATCTTTCATACATAACTCAACACAATTCAGCTACATTTCATTAATTCTGCAAATTCGGAAAGAGAGAATCCACTTCCCCCAGAATTCAATGAATCTCTTCCCTTCTACACGTAGCAGTAGGCAGCTGGCTAGCCCAAAAAAAAAAATGGCCACCACAGTTTGAGCTCGTTTACGATCACGAAATATGATAATATAAACAGTCATTGTGTTAAAACTGAATCAGTGCCACCAGAAAGCCATAGTAAGGTGACACTGTTACTGTTGAAGTACAAGCATTTGTTAGGTACACTTGAGAATCCCTCCAAAAATAATAATAGTTCAGACACCAAATAAACCTTCATAAACGCCGTGAGCTAACATCCTGGTCTTCCACATATCCGTTCTTTGGGACAGAGCCAATCAATGTGAAGGTAAAACGAATGCCGCTCCAGGATTGGCTGCTTTATAAACGCCAGCCAATAGCATGTTAAGTAGCATTGCACAATGTTATTTCAACTTCACAAGTTTCATTACAGAGGATTTTTGATATGCTCTTTTATGAAATCAATTTTCCAGGAATTATTTGGAGTCACATTCCACAGCAAAATCCGCAAACAGACGAATGCGTGAATTCTGAACCAATGCAGAACCACTTACTCTATGAATTTTTGTTTCAGTCTTTGGCAGACACACACTTTTACCTTGAAACTGTAGAACTGTGAATTTCATCGGAATTTTATTCTAAGAAATCAGACCAGAAGAATCTCATTGTGACTCATACCCATTTAATAGATACAGACTAAGAATTACTCATCCAAATCTTAACATACAAATTCAATTTATTTGTGTTTTCGTCATTAGCAGGGTTACAGAAGAGGGTAGAAATGAAAAAACACTGTTTGTAAATGACCAATGCGTCCAAAAGGTTTTTAAGTTTTTATTTCTTTGGTTCCCATTGAAGCATTCCGTGTTGCTAAGCCAACTAGCCACCAATAAGTAACTATGTTTATTAGTGGGACATGCTGATGGTGTTCTAATTAAATCCACACATTTTCACCTAAACATGCTGGCGTTTCCATGCACAAGTGCATGACAGCCGATTGTTCAGAGACTCCCTGGAAGAAACATTACCTATTTAAAGCAAAACAGAAAATTGAAATACACAGAAAAATGAGCAGATTATTCATAACGTCTGTGAAATCTTGTTTACATGTGGCCAGAGCCAGTTGTTATTAGGTTCGCAGTGGAACAAAGGAGTCTTTGCGAGGTTAATAGTTCAGAGTGTGTTTATTGGCGAGAACCTCTTGCAATTTTTGGTTTCTTCTTATTTGGGAGAACTAAAAGCCTAAAACATTTATAACCGTTACGTGAGTTATGGCCATTTGACCAGCCAGTTGGTAACTTTTATCGCTGTAGAAATGAAAATAATCCGTTAGCGTTTTTGTAGCGTGTGTCGTTTGGTGTTCCGACACGTTTAAAAGGCAACAGCCAGGATCCACTCACCCCCTCTGAAACAGATCCACATTGTGAAACTTGTGCAGTTCTACAGAAAACTCCAGCGTTCCCTGTACTTCAGACATGATCCAGTCCCACTCATCACCTGAGAAGAGAAGAACGGGACACAGATCAGGCAAACAGTAAAAGTAGAGATTGACTGATGGAACTTCTAAAATTAGCCTGCTTCATTACGTCTTCAGTCATCTGAGGTGGTGTGAGTCAGACCATCCATTGCGGGGGAATGAGAAGAACTACGCGGGCCCAAGATAGACACCTTGATCTTAATATAGCACCGATTATTACTTCTGGGATGAGATTTAATTATTTCTGTCAGGAAGAACGGAAGTGTGTGGTTGGCAGCTTCCCTGTGTTGTCCTCATAATGGAAGATAGGCATCAAAGAACGTCAGCCTTTTGCAAATGCGGTAATGACATCGCTTTCTTTTCTCGATATGAGTAAATGAATGAATGAATGAAAGAATGACTTATTCATAAAGCCCTATTTGCAGACACAGAAAGGTGGACGGATTTGTTGGTGCATTTCCATCTTGCTGAAATCATTTATTCGGAAAAGTCATTCGGTTAAAAGCAGTTGTGCATCTGCATGCGGGTTGTATCCGAATCTTTTGACACAGAGCTGTAAAGCCTGAATGCAGCAGCTCAGAAAACGGAAACTCATTCCATGAAACTCTGTGCGCTAGTGTTAAGGTAAGGCCACATCACATTTGGAGACTCTGATCCCAATAACACCCACTTCATTATAAAACATGCCACTGGTCAGTTTTACATCTGGACCAGTGGCATCATGTCATGTCGTCATGCTGGGGCCCTGAGAGCGACCCGTTCGTTTAAATGCCAAAGCATGTCATGGTTTCTGCGAAAAAAAATTTTAGACTATTGTGGCTACTTCCTTGTCACAGGAGGCTATCTCCATTCTGGAGCTAGCTCCTGATTGGACTAGACATTTGCCACTGAGTGGGTGGCGCTGGCAAATGAGAAGTAGGCTAGTTGCGTTAGCTGTGGAGAGGCTGGTCACCCACTGGATTGCCTTCTTCCTCTTCAGGCCATTAGTATTGCTAGCCTAGTATTTGCCTGCTGAATGGGAAGCTTCAATTGGAAGCCATATTTAGCTCTGTATGATACGGTATGTTTACGCTTGGTATCACCTTGAATTACAGTAAACGCAATCAAAAGAACACAAGTCAGTGGATCTAATGTATGTAGCATTCATACATACATTATAAATGTATGTATGAATGCATTCATACATGTAATCCATGCATATATCAACCGCGTACATATACGCGGTTGATATATGTAGCATTAGTATAGGCATCCCAATACTAATGCTAACCTATCAAACACACAAGCTAGCCTATCAAATGCTAAAACAAGCCTATACAATGCTAAAGCTAGCCTATATGAGCTAATGCCAGCCTATACAACTCTAATGGCCAGCAGAGGAAGAAGGCAATTCAGTGGGTGACTAGTCAAGGAATCATAGACATTAGCCTCTCCACAGCTAACACAAGTGGATGTTTTTCCCATTTGCTATCATTGATCAAATCAGTAGCTAACTTTGGAATGGATATAGGAAGTGATTGGCGTAGCTGAATTCAATGATTTTTAGATGCAAGAACATACTGACATGTCACATTTTGAAACTCAGCTGATTCATATTAATCCTTCAATAGTCCTTGAATTTGTAGATTTACATCTGACCGAGAAAAAAAACAACAAACACTCAATGTGCTTAACAGAATGACGCGGCTGGGAAGTCAGTGTAATTGGGTTCATTAGTCCCTGTGGAAAACGAAGCATGATTGTGTTTTGCAGTGCACACACCTTGTCTACAACTCTTATACTTCACATACAACAGCATCGAGAGAAAGTGCACGCTGAAAGCTGAGCTCCAACCAGTCAACGCTGACAGTGTTTACAACAAAGACTATCAAATGACCTCGCATTGAACGCTGTGAAATGCAATCCACACAAACACGGTCGGACGGGGTTGGCGTTCCTGCATCGGGCTGCGAAAACAGACAAGGGGAGTCATAAGTTGAAAGGAAGCGGCACTCAATAACATGTCAATAAACATAAATATAGTCCTGGCAGTGGAATACCTCGCTAAAGTATAGCTGTGCTCAGAGAGCTGATCTTCAGATGAGACGATTTGTTTTACTTCACCAGAGGAGAGTTGTAATAATGAAAGGGTTTTACTGTACAACAGCATCAACACCTGGCCTTTTCAGCATCAATGAGGTGCTTCACAAAACATCTTACACCAGCACTAACAGCTAGTCAAAATATTAAAGCCTACGTTAAGATCATTCAGTGATTTCGTTCCCACAGCAGAAATCGTATGAGGTAAGTAGCAGGAGAGAAGACAGATCTGTTGCCTTGAAGGTTTGGCACAGTTTCACAAAAAATTGTACGAGTGATGGTTTTGAACTTGTCTGCAACGCTGTTCGTTAAAGAGTAAAAGAAGTCTAACAACGAGCATATCTGCCTAAAAGAGACACTCGTGCAGCAACAGGTGGGGGAGGAGACACACTGCATCGCTATACAATTCACACCACAGAAGCAAACTCCAGTTTCTGGTGGAAGATATTAGCATGAAAATGCAGAGAAAAGTCCTTCTGAAGCATCAATTTGAAATTTTCTTAGATGATGTCGACCTGTCTTGTTCTCATGAATGCAGTACCGTGTCTCGTCTTGAGAGTGTTGTGTGTCAATACGCTCCTAGTCAGGCTCGTCGTTGTGATTCACAGAGAATCGTTTCTATTTTCGTTCTCAAATGTAAATTGAATTTCATCCTACAAGATAACCTGACCTAACCTGGTTTTAGTCCATGTAAGAATCTATGCTCTCAGTGGAATACATATGCAGACTGTTGTTTTAGTATTGCTACTCATGCTGGGATCTAAAAAATACTCTATCTTTTCTCCTTTGGTTTTAAAATGGTAAAAACATTTTTTACAGTAATATCTACAACATAGAATGATGTGATGCCATCTATTCACCAAAAAACACTAGTTTGCTGTTTTTATATTTTCTCCAAATGTAATTCAGATATAGAAATTGACCAGTACCAATTAGGAAGCAGCTTTACAAAAAAAAAAAATAGAGACTGTAAATTGATCACAAAGTACTGATTTCTGCATCTCCAGAATAAATAGGCAAAAAAGTAAAACACCATGTTTCACAGCGGTCATCGACCACAACCACCTACAAATAGCTAAAATTCATGATTACTTGAAACTCCCCATAAAAAGCCTAATAACTACCTACTTCAATAGTTTAAACACCAAACATATCTTATTATCCATCAACACACAGTGAAAACCGCAGAAGCTAATCTTATTTCCTCTCTTGGAGTGTACATTCAATCAGTGCCGAGGAGAATATGGTGCTCAATGATTGGCTGATTTGTCAACACCAACCAAAAGCATGTCAAGGACCATTGTGATGAGGGATTTCAGTCCCCCAACCTCCACTTACTATGGGCATGTCTTTGTGAATAGGCAATCGTTTGGGGTTACACAGACAAACAGAACAGAAGAATCCACAAACACTGAACTGCATAGGCCAGAGTCAGCAGTAGACCACCAGAGGCACAAAGGCCAAACTGCAGCCATTATACTTTCTCAAAAATACAGGATGGCTAAATCGCAAGAGGCGCATACTACGACGATGACTCTGGGTGTTTTCTCTTCCTTTTGCCAAAAGATTAACATATGAATCATTGTGATCTTTTGACAATCAGGTTAAGAATCTTCATAAACACCACACAGACATCTTGGAAGTTATGTCTGAAAGTCAAACCTTCGCCCGCCGACCCAGAGTCGGCATCAAAGAGCACTGCATCATCAAAGCAAAAACAGTGCCGTTCTCGGAAACAGCAAAGTGTTTTATGTCGACGCCGGTCACTGCGAGGTTTGGCCAGAGGCCAACGCTCTGTTCCCTGCTTCTGCTGAGTCAGCGGGCTGCTAGTGACAGCTGTAATGTCCCCAACCGTCACCAGATCGTTTAACGAGGGTACGTTTCCTCGTTGTTGATTCGATGTAAGCCTCCCTAATTGCTTTCCCGATCCACTGAGCTACACTGTAAACTAGCAGCCGGGGTTATCAGCTAGCTGCAGACACCAATTCATTATAAGGAGGGCCTCACTTCTGTCGCAGTATGTTAGCTTGGCAGTAAAGAAGGAGACACTGTGTACTTTGTTTAATATTGAGGCTCACAACCCTGGGGACCATCGGCCCCCAACCGAAGAAAGGACAAGAGGGACAAAGGCGGATATAATAATTGAAGGGAGGAAATATGTTGGAAATATAGCCTATAGATTTAACTAATCTACAGGATAGGTCTATAGAAATATTTAGAGAAAATGTATCAATACTGCAACAATGTGCTAGCAGCATCTTCTTTGTGAAATGTGGTTAAACTTTTAAAGTTTGTTTTGTCAAAAGAAAATGCAGCATTTCATCCCCCCCCCGTTTTGGAACACTTTATTCATCTTTGATGTACGAAACAGATCATCCATAAAGGATGACCTGAACCAACCTGCCTCTTTTATAAGGCAGGTTGGGAAGAAAAGAAAAAAGTAAAGAACCCAACAACAATGTTATTTGTTACCATGTAGCTCAGTGGATCAACTTTAAACTACATTAAAAGTCCATCTGGACAGACAAACAGAAGTAGGATGGAGAGATGTCATGAGAGTCCTTTCTGCAGATTGATATGATCCAGAAATGGCTGCCAAATCTGACGGAATCTATTTAATGTCCCTGATATTGCTAAAGATTTTTGGAAGTGCAAGTTATTATTTGTAACCAGTCGTTCCCTTTAATTTATTCTTAAATCTACTTTTAAAATAATAGCCTTTTCCGTTCAGTTATGTGTAGATTGAATTTAGTTGACTGATCAAAGCCTAACTAAATGCCTTTACGCTGAAACAGGTTGAGATTTATGAAGTGTTTATTTTATTTATTTAAAAATAACCCAAACTCACCAGCGATTCTACCTATCAGATTGTTTTTGAATCAAAACTGAGCCCCAGTGGGCCAAAGGAAGCGTCTCTGTCGTCCGTCGTGGTTGAGAGACGCTGGTGCATCAGATTTACAGAAGTACCAGAAACACGGTGATACAAAAGTTCCCCTCGGAACCCTGGCAAGTGAAAAGATAAAAACTGATTACGATTTTAACACGTTAATATCTATTAAATCAATTAATCAAAACTCCAGTTCTTGTTGGCTGTACCAACATCAATGGTGGCGATGGTAATCCTGTGTGAGTTGTTTTAAATAACATTTAAACATCACAATAAACATTTGTGCTAAACATGCATTCTAGATCTGTAAGCGTCAGTGGTTCTTATCTGAACATAAATTTATGTTTCAGATTCAGATAGGAACCTTTCAGAAGATCGTTTCACCTCTTATGAACGCTATTAATGCAATACAACTGGTATCATAAATGTGAGACCTGCTTCAGCAGCATGCTGTCCCATAAAATCCCTTCCTGCAGAAATCCAAAGTTGTTTTGAAGCTCCAATACAAAATCTGCTAAACCTGCAGCCTGACTAATGCTCCCATTCTGCTGTTTGTGCACTTTTAAAAGCTCAATCTTTTGGTTTTTCCTCTCCTTGCAGCAAATCATCAAACAGTAATCATTACAAAACAGCCATCTGGTATCTGATTACTTTTTAACGCATGCCACACACACAGGCGCACGCAGCTGCAGACACGCTGGCATTCCTGTGGGTTTCGAGGTCGCAGCAACTCTTAATTCCACCACCTTAGTGGAAGTAAAAAAAAATAAATAAATAAAACAAAGAAACAGTTGTGGCTGCCCTCAAGCTGCCCTCCCCATCCAACGGTGACATCGGCTCAGCTGGAAATGTCTGGCGAGGGCAGGATGGGGAATGTGACGTGTGTTTCCAGCGCTCAAACCAGGGAACAGCTCCATTTCGCAGCCATTATCACTTGAAGCAGCCGAACGTGAACGCAGCTCGGAGGGGCCAGAAATTAATCTGCGGCAGCATTAATCCATTCATTAACGTCCAACACCCTCTGCCAGCACGCCGAAACAGACAGAGGGCCGTCACTAAAAATAGCACGGATCGGCAGAGGCGACCAGCTCCTCTCTCAAAACCAGCATTTTTAAATAAATGCTGGTCCATCTGCCATAACGCGGCGACAAGGAGGGGGAGGAGGCCGACAGAGGATTTGCTGCGAGCGGCGAGAGAAAGAGAGAAAGAGAGAGCGAGGCCTCAACAGGAACCTCGTGAGCCCGGCCCCTGCAATCATGTGATGGCATAATCTAGCACTTTCTGAAATCCTCTGCGGTGAGTGTTGTGCTGCGTGTTGGTAAATTACAACCAAATCCCCGCGACCAGAGCTGGGCTGGAGTTGAACCGAGAGGTCAAGTTAGAGGAGGACATGACCCGGGTCTTTACGGTCTCCACTAGCAATTAAAACGTGATCAAAAGAGTTTATCATGCAACAACAAAAACAGAAACAAAGAAAAAAAAGAGGGGCTTTATAAAAATAGAGAGCTTCGTTTGTTAGCTCGGAGGCCCGTCGTGTTCCCCGGAGAGCTGCATGCGATCGCCGTTTGTTTTCACAACTCTGAGTCACTGGGAACTTATTTGTGCAAGAAAAAAAACACAAAAAAATCAAAGCATCTTCCATCTGTGTGCGCACTCTTCCAAGATTTTTTTTTTTATTGCACTACCTGCTTTATAATGATTCAGCATAGCACTCAACAACGAGAAACGAGTCAATGACATTTCGCCGCTCCAATGCTCTTTTAAAGGACTGCCAAAAGTCCCCAGAAAATTCTGCCTTCATTGCATTTCAGCTGATGACATCCAGAGATTAGCTTGTTTTAGTAAACAGCGTGGCGGCCGAGTGACTCCGGCCGTGTGAGTCGGATTTGGAGTTGAACAGAGATGCTGGAGGTACTTGGAGCTTTTGTTTTCTGCTCAACACCACATTGGTGCCTCTCCTGCAAATACCGTAATCTGCTTGCATCACCTTAAATAGCTATGAGACTTGCCATTCCACTGGTGCTTTGTGCAGTGTGAAATCATAATGCTCTAGCAAGGAACTTCTGTCTCTTTTGTCTTAAATGTCCAAAATACAACCAAACAAGTGATGTAACCTTTCCTCTTTTATCCACAGTTTCCTCTTGAGATGTTGTCCTCATTTTCTGCTTTTACTCCGGTGAACTGCAAAGACTCAACATCTGCGGACAGTTGAGGGTTCACAATCTAGTTTACCGATTGGCTAAATTTCCCTTGACAAATTAGTTCATTTCCCACAATCCAAATGGATACTAGGAATTTTGATGAGCTACTTTGGCGATAATCCCAGTTTCTTTAACATCAGGGTAGCCACCGCTCAACGGTCAATGTGGCATAGAGACACACTACGCAGGTCTTCAGACTGATTGTGTTGACTCTAAGTGTCTTCCCTGAGTACGCGTCCGCAGTCACAAGAACGTTCTTTTGTACGTCTGCATACGGCGGATGTCCACCTGGAGTAGGCCTTGGTCTCCGAAGGAGGGAAGGACACCTGAAAATGTTGGGGCAACATGAAACCGCAGCTGCGTATTTTAGAGAACAAATTTTCACACGCTAGCTAAGAAACCTTTCTTAGGTGGGCCGTGAGAGACAGAGACTTTGATGTTGATATTTTCCTCTGCCTACATCCCCTAGATGCCAGGCAGTTCAGATTCAGGGTTCAGTGAAATGATCAAAATTCGACCTGACATATTTTTAATTGATAACTGATCACTTATCGTAATAGATGCAGTTATTGTTTTAACGCTCTGCCCTGGTTTATGCCCATTTAACCCAAAAGGGTCAGGATAGGCGATAGGCCTAGTGTGCCTATGTCACTGGGCGAGGGGCAGGATGCGCCCTGGACACATTGCTGACATTGTGTTTCCAGCCTGACTCAGCACATTTGGAACCCCAGCAAAGTAAGTTCTAAAAAAAAAAAGGACTGATGACATTTAACCATTTCTGACGGAAAACCTTTTACTATTGGAAAACCACTATGACCGTCCCAGCAGAGCAATGCTGGACCAACAGAAACACACAACTTACGTATAGACCAGTTAACCTAATAGTCGTGTATTTATTTTCGGACTGTGGGAAAACAGGAAAGAACCCATGGACACACAGAGAACATGCAAACTCAATGAGGAAAACCCCCAGCTGAGGTTTTGAACCCAGGATCTTCTTGCTTCAAGGCAACGGTGCTGCCACGTATTCCACCTTTGAGCCCAAGTTCAGAGTAATCTTAAGACTTAAGAGGGCAGAGAAGCACGGAATCGTCAAGGTCTTGAGTATCAAAGTGGGAATGCCTTCCTTCATCCAGCTGACCAGCTTTGCCAGGCTACACATACTGGAAAAGGAGCAATTTGACTGTAAATATCTGAAATGAATGAGAAACAAGAAAAATACAAAACATCCTGTTTATATGGATTCTGATCAGTTGCCTTTTGTGATGTAATTGTTTACCATGTTTACAGAGAGGAGACGTTATCTTTATTTTATCGTATTAGACAGGAGATATCTAACGTGACTTTGACCGAGTTCCCAGAAAGATCTGGACTGTCCTTTAACAGGAATCAGCCTGTCTTTGGCTGTGCTGACAGACTGGAACAAAGACAAAGACAGCTCCTGACCTTTGTCTTTGTTTGCAGTAGACACCGCAGTTGTTTTATGTGACAGCATCAGAGGGAGAAAGTCAAAGTGGACAGCACACCCAGCGTCCTGAACTCTGACCGACACTTTCACTTCTTTACAAGCTAAACGATGAGTCAAATCGCAGTCCCTTGCTGCACTTCAGCGCCTCAACAACGCAGCTTTCACTTTCAAACTTATGCGCATATGTCCCTTGACGTCTCCCTTCGTTTTGATCATGGAACGTGTTCCCTCAACGTCCAAGCAAGAAGCATCGTGCAAGGGCAGGAGGGAGAGCAGCGAGAGGAGGACGAGAGTGTCACAGAGACAGAGACAGAGAGAGAGAGAGAGAGAGAGAGAGAGAAAAAGAGAGAGAGAGAGAGAGGCAGCCTCACCTTAGCAGCGATGTGCTGTGATGTCCGCAGAGGGTTCGGCTCCAGCTCCGAGCCTGAAACGGACTGAAATCGGTCTGTTTGCGGGGCGGACGGATGGATGCAGTGTTTATATCCCCGCTTCTCGTGCTTCTGATGCTGCTGCTGCTGTTGCCATGGTTATACAGTCACCCAGACCCTGTGTGTTTCTGCAGCCCCTGTCTCTCTCTCTCTCTCTCTCTCTCTCTCTCTCTCTCTCTCTCAATTTGGGAAAGTGCGGCAACGTCGCGGCGCGCGCTCGCTCCCTGCGTTCATCCCGACGTACAGGTTCTTCTTCTTCCTCCTCTCATTCCAAACGGAGCGCGTGCTGGTCGGTACATGTCGTAGTTAGCGGCGCGCGCGCGGGGCTCCCTCTGATTGAGAGCCTCGTGCGTGCGTGCGTGCGTCTTGATGCGCGAGGATGTGCGCGTCCGACAGGTCGGCGAGCTAACGTGACGTCAGAGCTTGACACCCCACCACCCCCAACCCGAGCTACCCTCACCACCACCACCTTTGAAGCTCGAGCGCAGCGTGCACGCGGAAATGACCACGCTGACAATGAGGAACAACAGCAGGAGTGTCGCGCAAAAGAAAACGAGGGTGTCACGTGACTTGGATGCCGCGACAGGTTGAAAGGAGGCAATTAAGAAGGAAGGTTGTGAAAAGAGAAAAGGCACATGATCAGTGGATGGAGACATGGATGAGAAGAAAGTTGCTAAACTCGCAGAGGTTAACAAAATTATCCAGGGGTCCAGGACTTGGCTCCCCCCGCATGAATTATTATTTAAAACAACTTGTATAAATTCAACTCAGCTTATCTTTGTTTATGCATTTATCTAAATATTTACTTCGCTGTTTCTTTAGCTCTTTGCATATTCACTTTTTACTTATTTATTTAGTTAGCTATTTATTTATTTAGTTAGCTATTTACTTAGGTACATGCCTATATTATTAATTTATCTATTATAGCTACTTACTTAGCTATTTATTTAGCTATTTACTAGCTGCTTACTTACCTACTAAGCTATTATACTATACTATACTAAGCTATAGGTACTATCTACCTATTGTGTTATTTACTTTGCTAGTGACTTATTTACTAACTTTTACACTAATTTTCTTTACTTACTAGCTAACTACCAATTTATTCAGGGATTCTCCCAGAGTCTATCCATATGAGTCAATAAAAGCAACATAACCACTATTTGTTTCTGACAATCAGAAACAGTGCATTCAAAATGCCATCTGTCATGCTTTAATGACTCCTCTCAGACTAATCACTTGTCACATAAATGGGGAAAGGGAGGATTATGTAACAAATGAATATAAATGTTCATGACACATAAGCTGCTGGCTGTGGCTACAGTGGGTCTGTTTCCGGCGCTGCTTTCCTCCAACCCCCCCCCTCTCCCCCCCCCATCGAGGTCTTTTTCATCTCTCGTTCTGCTGAATGATGTTCGCATACGCCAACGGCTGCTTTTCTCTCGGCATTTTTTGAGAGATTTTGTTTGGTTTTATTTTCTCCTCTCAGCTGCAAAGATCAGAGCAACTGTGTAGTCTGAGGTGCAGGCTGGCAGAAACTTCAGGCGTTGCACAGAAAGGTCACTAAGGAAACCCCAGTTCCATTAGTGACACTGCAACCTACACTGGTGCTTCGTGCAAAACTCACTTTTGTTGGGTTTCAAAGTTTGCTCTTTTAAATTTTGTCTATGTCTTTATTTGTGTGTGTGCTTATTTATTCTTTAAAAATAAATCAGTGCTTACCTTTCAAATAAACAACATTTTATTCTTAGGTGTAATGCAAACTACAATGTTTTTCTTCATTAATTCAATCCTTGATTAATTGCATTAATAAATTTTTTGTTAAATGTAGTTATTCAGGCCTGAACAGCAGCGCGCCAAAGGTTGCCTAGCAGAAAAAGGTTCCTGGGTTTGAATGGTGGTCTGGGTCAGGAGTGGACTGGTATGGTGTCTTACTGGGACTTTTCCTGGTGGGCTGGTGGTTCAACTCGTGAATGAGCTGTTGCGCTCACTCAAAGTGAACCGAAAGAAGGTAGCGTTGGTTGAAAGGTAAAAGTTTGTTGGGTTTTTTATGCGATAGCTACCACTCGCTAGCATTGGGCAAACACTAAGAAAGAAAAAAAAAATCATCGTAACTTTAAAAAAAAATTTGTATTATAACTAATCATTCATTACACAGGCTTACAGTTCTTGTTTGTCAGAAACTAAACTGGCTGCGGCGCACTGTTTTAAATTTAGTAGTTTGACGTCATGTGCGATCAGTGCTATGACCTCAGGGAGGTGGGCTCCAGCCCCATTGGTTCCCCACATGGTCAAGAAGATACACCAGTGGATGGATGTAATTATTTAGGAATGTCTTTCTCAAACCTATTCATTGTTACAGTATGTTGTACACCACACAACATGAGCTGTGCTGTCGTTGCAGCCATTTATATCCTCTGTAGTCCAACACAGTTTGAAAGTAAAAATTTCTCTTCAGGTTCCTGTACTTCCATCATACCTTCTCAACCATTTGTGCTGCGTCCTTAAGACCATAACTCACATTTCCACAGCCATTTTTTATTTTTTTTTACTTCGCCTGGAGGGTTTACTGTGGGTCACAAGAGTTCGAGTCATGAGGAAAGCCTCATGAAGGAACATTCGCAAACTGTTTTCTCCCCGTCTCAGTGAGAGAGATGCAGGCGCTCTTAATTATCTGGCTTAGAAACACGAGCGCTCACCCTCTGACTGTATCAGCTTTCCCATTGGGGTGTAGCTTTACAAACGGCCCAGTCTCACTCCGTAACATGATTTAGGCATACGTTTTAACATTCAGCGGTTAAAGCTGCGGGATGAAACTTATTTAAAAATATAAGTTTAATTTTTTACTTTTTTTTTTACATGTCAAAAGTGTCACAATGTATGGTAGGAGACAGATACTCTGTGAAAAGATAGATCTCCGCCACCTCTCTGAGCCACTAGTTTCATCTGAAGAGATGCACCTCTCCTGACCAAAAACAACCAATCAAAGCCAGGAGGAGGGCCTTAGCGCTGTCAATCACCTTGGAATCACCTTTCCACCATTTGCTAAATGTGCAGATGGTGGAAAAACAATTTACCGATATAGGAAAACCGTTTATCTGCGCCATCAGTGGCTATACTCACTAGCCTTAGCATTTCTGGCAAACTCTTCAATGGGGAATACTCAGTATTCCCCATTGAACAAGGGGAAGGAGTGAATGAAGGTTGTGAGCGCTGGGTATGCAAGTGTGATTGACAGCAATAAGACCCACCTCCTGGCTCAGATTGGTTGTTCCTGATTAGCACTGGGAGTTGGGAGAAGAGCTTGATTTTTTCACAGATCATTTTTCTCACATCATACTGTCACAACATAGAGACAGTTAGAGAAAGAAATACTTCTTTTTTTTTTTTTATAAAAGTTACTTACTGCAGCATTAATATGAGCATCAGGGGCTCTGTTGATTTTGGTGTCATTTGATTCCTACTAGAATTTCCCTCCCTTTAAAGCAAAAAACAACTTCAGAGAAATTAACATCTGAAAGTGGTTCCTTCAGTAGACGTACTGACAGAAAAAAAAAAAAAAAAAACAGAAGATCTTGCGAGAATTGTCAGAACGGTTGCAAATGCCGGAGAAATATCATAGCATTAAGGAATCTCACTGAACATTTTCCATTAGGACGTGAAATTCCTCCTAGAAGTCTGCCTGTGGTCGTCGTTTTACGTTCTCAGATCTTCTCGAGAGCAGATCAAACGCCGCAGGATCAATTACGCGACCTGCAGCGTACAGAAGCAGCGTGTCTCGTCTCCTCTAGGCATCTTCAGATAATAACAAGGCTTTCCTTGTGTCAACACCACCAGCTAACATTCTTCTGCTTCACTGCTCAGCATACGTGATTATGAAATCTGCTCCTTTCTTACGGAGAGGACGATTATCTAGATAATTATGCAGGTGGGGGACGTGTTATTAGGAGAAACTTAATAGTGTTCCTATAAAAAGTCTTTGGGGCTTCTGCAACTTTTTTACGTGTTGGTAATAAAACCCAAGTTGCCACCTCCTAAAGAGCTCCTGGCCAATGGGAAACCCTTGAACAAACTTTTATGTGGCCTCTAAAAACCCTCCACATCCCCGTGCACCACTTCTGTCAGCCAGTCCTCATCATGCGCAGGTAGGACCGGCTTCAGGGAGGGGGATTTTTTTTTTCTGACATCCGCAGCTCCTTCAGTTCCTCGCACCTTACATCCCAGAGAGCGTCTTTGCCAAGACCGACCATCAAAAAATTGGAAGCATGGCCTTCCACTGCTCTGCTTCGAAGAGGTAAGTATCTCATGCCGAACTTCTACCTCAGGATCTCTTCTCTTAACAACTCCTGGTTCTAGAAACTGTCTGGTAGCAACAGTTTACTCTTCTGTTGCTGCCAAAACTAAAAAAAGATTCAGCTAAAATCTTAGAATATCTGTTCATACCTTTTTATTGTAATCACCACTGAGCAGTGGCATGTCTGACTCCGTTAGGAATTCTAGATATTGGTTAAGGTTGGACATGCCCGGAGGGTTGGGTTGTTCTCAAACTTGAAGGAGCAACAAAGGGGCATCCCAGAGTTGGTGTCAGTAAGTGAAAAGTACTTTACACTTTCAGCGATGCCAGGAAATTATGTAATGTTAGGCAGTAGAGGAGCAACTAATTTCTCCTGATCAGGTGAAACAAGACACTTCCACAAATCAAGCAAATGCTTCAGTGATGATAAACTGTTTCAAATAATCTCTAACCAGTGCTATTACACAAGAGATTTTGCACATTGTTTCTGTTCTCCTTTATGCAGTTAGCTGTATGAATTAATAAAATGAGGAAAAAAAAGCATTAAGCATTATCTTAAGTCTGAATAGTTCAGTTAAGCAACCAGATGTAATCTTAGCATGATTCTATTTCTTTTTTAAGGATGACAGGCCAGCTATGGCCAAATGTACAAAATCTTTGCTCTCCAGAACAGTTGTATAGTAAAAAAGGGACTGTACAACTGTCCCTTACTGTAGCATTAATATGAGCATCAGTAATTTGCTTCAATTTTACAAGCAAAATTGAAGCAAACTTAAATTTTGCTTGTCATCCAAATGGAAGTAAATCTCTGGAAGATGCTGATAATTGGTTACGAATAGGTTTCTTGGTGACTTCAGTGATGATCCAGTGTCATGCTGACCTGGGATCAGATGGTGAATCTTGGTTCCATAGAGGTCTACTTGTTTCTGCTTCTTTGAGACCGTTTCATAGGTCAATGGGTCTGAGACAGAAACCTTGACATCCTTCATAAGAGCAACACTTTGCTGCTCAATCTGGGTTGTCTAACTGACAACTGAA